TACAAACTTTTATTTAATTTATTACATATCTTTTAATAGCAATTTATTTGATTCATTTTAGTAGATAACTTCAATAAATATATTTATTTTATTTTGAAATTAATGAATAAAATATTCAGAAGGTAATCTAAAATTGTGAAAAATTCTTATCTATTTTAAATGTTGGAGATGATGAAGTGGTATTATATCTAATCTTTAATTTAGGATGAGGAATATGATGAAAATTTATAACATCATAATCATGAAAAAGAAGAAATAAAAATGTTGAATAAGAAAACTAAAAAAGTTTGGAAAAATAGTAATGCAAAATTTAAGAAATTAATGATAACAGCATTCTTTATTTTTTTAAATCTACAAGTCTACTTTGTATATCAATATTACTCAGCCCAATAAGTTGTTGAAGATACATATTATTTATGTCCCATTTTGAATACTACATCTCTATTGGAATCATAATATCGTCTAGGAGATAATGCTATTAGAGAATATATTTTGAATCCCAATTAGAATATATTTAGTACATCTCCTTAAACATTTATTTAATCTTATTTAGTTAAGTTGTAAGATGTAAATGCAGAAATGCAAACTAAATTTACTCAAAATGTTGATTTATTTTAACAAGATTTTATTAATGTATTTCAATAATTATACATTTAAAACCCTTGTCCTCTTTTAGGATAGTTATAAAATTTTATTAATGAAGATTATTGCAATACTATATTAGATGGTACAGTTTCTGAGGGATTATCAATTGGTTTAACTAAATTTTATGAAAATCTAAGAATTTTATTAATAGATTATGAATTGTAAAGATAATAAAATTAAACAGAGATATAAAATTAATATTATGGAATATTATTACTTAGTACTAATTTTAGTTTAGAGATAAGAGTTATGTAAAAGATTATCATTAGATACACTTAAAGATATTTGATTGAAAAGTTAGAAAAAAGTATTAGCGATTCTTTCAATAATTTATCAATTACTAGAGGGACTCTTTTTATTTGTTTCACATTTTATATTTTTATTATTTCATTTTTTTTATGGATTCCTAGTAATACATCATTGATTAAATCTATGCAAAAAAGTAGAACTCTTTTGTTACTTATGCCTATGCAAATATTAACAAAGTAATATTATAATTTATATATATTATATAGTTCAACTCCGATTAGAAGATACTTAAGAGCTGTACTAAAAAATTGATTAATATATTTATGTTAACATTATCAATTTTAATATTACTATTGATATATGTTGGATTAAGATTCTGCATAGCTTCCAAATACAATTAAAAATACAATATGCTTATTTTATTTGGATCAGGTGGACATACTTATGAAATGTTAATGACATTAAAGAATTATGATTTCCAAAAAAAATGTTAGAATTTATATTTTATGCATTCCTTTGCTGATACTTAAGAACCATTAAGAGTAGCTAAGTTTATAGAAGACAACAAGGTATAAAGAACTCATAATATAAAAAGATTGCTTTACCAAAAGTAGAATGGATTACAATTCACAGAAGTAGAAAAGTTAAATAATCATATTTATCTTCAATAATAACAACAATCAAGGCAACACTGCATACATTTTTAATATTATTGAGATTCAGAGATTTAGATATTTTTATAACTAATGGTCCTGGGACATGTATACCAGTAGTGATTGTTTTGATTGCACAATATGTAATACATAATTAGATAGTAGATATTATTTATTAGAAAAAGATGCAAGATTTTGTTTATAGAGAGTTGGTGTAGAGTAGAAAATTTATCTTTGAGTGGAAAATTATTATATTGGTTTAGTGATAGATTTGTAGTGAATTGGGAATCTTTGTGTAAGAAATACAAAAGAGCTACTTTTGTTGGTAATTTAATTTGAGTATAATAATTAAATTGCTGGATTTCATTTGATATATATTTGTTTAATAAAATAAAAAAATAACTGATGTTCAAGAACTCATTCCAAAGTGGATTTCTATCAATTTTATATTCAATAGGATCAAAGCCATTGTAGATTTGGGATAAATAAAGTATTTTATAACTCAATTATTACAGTTAAGAATGGTCATATCAAGCGAATTACAGATTAAGATATTTAATCATCAGTTTTAGAAATCATGGGTACAAATGTGAGTACCAATTTCATTACTGCTCCTGCTGATCCAAAAGAAACTTTAGGAATCAAATTACCATTCTTAGTAATGATCATTAAGAATGTAAAATTATCATATTTAAAATCTAGCTTAAAAAATATTTTACATTTGAAGTACAAGTCTTGGATGATAAAAATGTTAGAAGAAGATTTAGAGCTTCTAATTATTAAGTATATCTTAAATACCAATTATTAGTCGACAACTAGAGTGAAACCATTTATCTGTACTATGCCTATGAGACTGGATGAAGGATGGAATTAAATTCAGTTCAATTTATCTGATTTCACTAGAAGAGCATATGGTACAAATTACATAGAGACATTACGGTACATACAAATGCAATAATATTAGAGTTTAAATACATGCCAATTGCAGAATTAGAAGAATCTATTTCAGTGATCGTTTATATAGTGAAGAGGAATTACCCCCTGAATTTAAATTATTCTTACCCATCTAAAAATAAGGATGATCAATAATTTAATATTTTTATTCATTCATTTAAATAAATAAAGTCTATGTATACATATATAAAATACATTCTCAAAATTGATTATTTCCTAATTGTAAAGTTTTATATTGAATCAGAATTGTGGATTTTTAATTGAATTTTAAATTATTTATTAATACTCTCATTTAAATACTATCTTGTAAATTAGACAACCAAAATTATACTTAAAATATTAAGAATAACTCTTTGTTTAATAAAATAATATTAAGATTATGATATCATAATCAAAAATAAATTTAATGGTTATTGCCTAAAAAAGAAGGAGTGAATTATTTAACACTCAGTTAGATAAATATATTTTTGAAAACTTATTTAATGTAAATTATAACTATAATAAAAACCAATTTTAATCATAGATTTATAAATAATCAATCAAAATTTTATGTAATTCTTAAGTTTTATAGATAAATCATTGCCAACTAATGATCAATAATTATTAAAATTATGAGGAAAATCGAAGGAATTATAGTAAATAATCTATTTAATTAATAAAAATTAATTAAATTAATTGAGATTGGTCTACTTATATTATATACTGTATCTTTTTATCTTGCTGATAAAGAATAGCTTCAAAAAATATTATATGTTAAAAATTAGGAGTTTAATTAATATCATATTTTTGTTATAGTTAGTCCAAATAAATCTGTGAATAAGAGTTAATTTGAGTAAAATCATAAAAAAAGTATTAATTAATTAGGATTTATAAATTGACAATTTAATCTAATTTTCTTTTTTTGTTAAATTATTTCCATATTTATAATGTATCAATCAGTATTTTTAATGATGATGTTTATTATTTTTATTAATAATTTTTATTAATATTATGAAATGATTGAATATCTAAATTTAAAGTTCTTATTAGTATATACCCAATATATTAAATATTTTAATTAGTATTATTGTGTATGAGAATTTCCTTTAGAATAATTTGGATGTTTTCTTAGAATATATGATATTATCTCTTATTTGAGGTATGAAAATAAGTTAATTAATAATAAATTTTAATTTATGGGAAGCAAAGCCGAGAATTAAATTGAATAATATTCAGGATAAGACTTTGGTGACAAGATAAGCTTTACTGTAGGTGTCAGTTACATGTTAGGTAAATTGAAATTCATAAATCTAGCTTCATCAATTGGATTATTAAAAGGAGCAATTGAAGGATTCCCTAGATAATTCAATATGCCTAAAAAATTGATTCTTAACAATTTCTTTAATGCTGTAGGAAAACGTACATCAACATATGGTTAAGCTGCAGCTAGTGCAAGCATGCTTTATTATTTTGTTGGAGCAGGAATGAATCTGTTATTTGAAGATGAGTTAGCTGATATTAATTAACTTAAGAAAAATATGCTTTGCGGTGCTATATCAGGAGCTATATACAAATCTACTTTGGGTATGTTAAATAAATATTGAACTTTAGGGATTGTCCCATTTTTTGTAGGGGGAATTGTTGGTGGGTCTTTGATAGGTGGTGTTACACTTCTAGTAGAGAATTTCAATAGAAGAGGTATTGTAGCTTTTGAAATGAAATTTTGATAAGTGTGATTTTGTTTTTTTTAATTAATTTCATAACTAAATGGGTTCTTCTATATGTGTAAATTGCACCATAAAATCTGAAGATTCAGATATACAAGCATTACCTTAGGTCTAATAAATTGTGTTTGAGTATACAGATTTTTATGAGATTCCAGAGACTTCAAAGTAAAAAGAACAACCTTTATAATAACAAACAGATATTTTAAAAAACGTACAAAGCCCTAAATTGAGAGGTATTTTGAAGCATAATTTCTAACAAAATAAAGATCTAGGAAATTTTAGTTAAGATAATAAATCACCTACTATTACTATATAAAGGAAAAAAGTAAAATTTAGGAAACCATCAAAATTAAATTATAGTGATTGATCTATGATAATTGTAAAAAATTAAAAACTTAATTTGTATTCAAAGAATATCAAAATATGGTTATTGCAATTTGAAATCATTTCAATTACATTAAAAAATACATATCTAATATTTCTTCAGTAGACTTCATTTTTTATATTTTTTTATGTAAATAATCTTTATTGTTTAAGATGATAATATGTATATCAAAATATAAGTAGCAAAGATGTATCTTTTCTTAGAATAAATTCTTTTTAAGATTACTTTCATCTACCTTATGTTTTCATAAAAATAACATAAAGAAATTCTGTCATAAAAATAAATTATTAGAAAGTTAATTTGATATTATATTTAACTTGATGTATTCAGCACAAATTAAATTTATAGTTTTTACTATAAATCCATTAAGCAAATTCTAAAATTTTGATTAAATAAATTTATATAAAAGATGTAAATATAGAGATTTCCTACAATTGGTGAATGGACTGAAAAAGTTTATAAATATTATATTCTTATATTTTTAGAAAACAAATTCATTTATCGAAGAAAAGTTAATCATTCGAAATCCTGAAGAATTGAAATCCAAAATAGAAAAGATGATATCTGAAGGTGCTAAGTAAATGCAAATTGTGACTGATTTTGATTAAACAATATCTTCTTTTCTAAGTCCTGCTACATTTAGCTTGTTTAGGTTTACATTAAAAATATAATTATAGAATGTCAGAATTATCACCTTAGGATTTCAAAAATAAAATGTAATCTTATTATGATTACTATGTTCCAATTGAAAAGGATTAGAGTATAAAAATTGAGGAAAAGAATAAACATATGCATGAATGGTATTAGAAAGTATCTGAAGCATTTCATGAAGCTAAATTCACAAAATCTTTATCATGTTAGATATTAAACACTTCACATATTTATTTGAGATATCTTTTCGAACCATTCTTTAATAAATGTGTAGAAGAACATGTTCCATTTCACATTGTCAGTGGTGGACTTGATAGAGTGATAAATACAATTTTATCATCTATTCATGAAATTGACACTTATGATGAAATGACATTGCATACAAATTAAATGCTTTTTTAAGATGATACCTTAGAGAAGATGGAGATGTTAGTAACAGCAACCACTAAAGCCAAAATATTAGAAACCTCTGGAATTCAATTTAGAAATAATACTATTTTATTAGGAGATTTACCAAGTGATTTTTATATGACTAAATTCCTAAATATTCCAAATTAAGTGAGTATAGGATTTTTAGCATAGGATCATGCTTAGTATATATATTCATTTATAAATTAGTTAATTGGAAGAATATAAGAAATTATATGATATCACTATAATTGGTGATCCTAGTTTCTTAGTTCCATTAGTATTGTTATCCAAAGTCATGGGATATCCATTATCAGAAGAATAAACTTAGCTTTTCAATTCAAAAAATTATGATGAGCTTCGTAAACTCTTTTGATATAGATTATTTAATACAATAAACAATAATTATTTCATATCTTTAATATCTATGTTTAATCTTTTCTAGGCAATAGAATTATATTAAGATAATAATAAAATATTCCATGAATTAAATTTCATATATATTTTTTTGAAATGAACTAACAAGAACCGCAAACAACAACCATGTAACAAGATCAAATCCTACAATCCACTGAAATGCCCAATTCAATCCAATAAGAAAGTTCAAACTAGATCTACACCTTTAAGGCTCCTTGGTTAATTTATGCAATGGGATTTTAATCAAAACCAAGTCCTTAATCTCGTATTGCAATTTGTAGTATGATTGAAGATATTTAGAATGAAGTAAGTTCTATTTTATTATAAATAGGTATTTATACTACAGTTAGATAAAGAACAAGAAACATTTTGTAAAAAGGCTAAATTCAATCATAGATATGCTCCTACCAAAGTCTTGTGGATACCTGATATCTAGGGTAAGTATCCTGATTTACTGGCAACTAGTGGTGAAAATTTGAAGATTTGGGAATATGATGATCAAAATTCTCAAGTTAAGATTAAATGGGACTTAAAAAATGTATTTAATTAATATTCTAAACTAAATATAGACAAGTGATTTTAATGCTCCTTTGACATCTTTTGATTGGAGTAGCAAATAACAAAATTATATTGGAACTGCATCAATAGATACAACATGTACACTATGGGATATAGAAAAATAGACTGTAGTTACTCAACTTATTGCTCATGATAAGGAAGTCTATGATATATGTTTTAGTGTAGATCATTAGATTTTTGCATCTGTTGGAGCAGATGGTAGTTGTAGACAATTTGATCTAAGGTTATATTTTAGAAAATTCTTAGAGCCTTAGATCATTCAACAGTTCTATTTGAGACAGAGAACAATAATCCTATTGTAAGATTGGCTTGGAATAAAATGGATACTAATTATTTAGCAATTATAGAGATGGATGTTAATTATGTTACATTGTTAGATACAAGGTAGATACATATTATATTTAGATAACCACTTTTACCTTTAGCAAAATTAAAAAATCATAAAGATTATGTAAATGCTATAGCATGGGCACCTGAATCCACAACTCATTTATGTAGTGTTGCAGATGATTCATCAGCCTTGATATGGGATTTTACAGAATTATAGAACAAATAAAATGATTAAAATTCTATTGGTATTTGTTTTAATTAATGTAGATCCATTACTTGAATACAAGGCAGAAAATGAAATAAGTAATTTATCATGGTCTTTGATTAAAATTGATTAAGTGAGTATTTGTTATAATAAATCATGTTAAATATTGAATGTTTGAAATTTATATCAATTTAATAATTAATAATAATAATATTTATTTTATAGTAATTTGGTAATAGTGTTAGTTAAACTTAATGGTCATTACTATAAGTAGTAATAAAATAAATAATTCCATTTATTTAGATATTTATTATTAATAGATTAATAGATAGTTATTATACTATATGATAAACTTATGGATGGAACTAATTTACATAATATAATTTAGTATTTTCATGTATTTATATGATGATTTTTAATTGTAAATATTTAAAATTACACAAAAGATATATAATTTAAGTTAAACTATAAATAATCATATAAATTATAATAGAAAAAAATAATAATTAAATATAAATACTGTTTATTCAATCATATAAATCAAGATTGATGAATACTTATTTTCTTATAACTGAGTATATTCAAATCTTCATCACATAAACCACTAGTTATCATATTTGATGATTCAAGATCATAATCCTCTATTTTCATTTCCTTAGAAGGTAATTCATTATTAATCTCATCACTATGTTTTTCAAATATTTTAGATGGTAATTGGATACCATAATTTTAATATTTCAACATTTATTAATATGTTGTTTATGAACGTAGTATAAAATACAATCGTGATATTTCATGCAATTAATTGACAACTGAAAGTTTTAGTAACACACTTTTTCGAACTTTTTCATACCATTTTTGAAATTCTTCTTAATTAATCAATTCTTTTTCATGCTTAATTTCAATTGTTTTACCCATACAATTTTTGACTTTTCTTAGATTTCGAAATTATGGATAATAAACACTAATTATTTCATCAATAATTGTATTTTCCATTTCTTCTCTATTAAATTATTGAATAAACCAAGAAGCTGCTAATAATAGACTTGCTATAGATCCAACTTCAGCCAACATTTCTCCTATTTTAACATAAGTAACTGATTATTTTACTTCAATAGGATCAACTTTAAAAGCTATCTCAAATAACACTTCATCTTTTATTATTTATACATTTTTATTTTTTGTAATAGTTTAGGTCAAAACACTAAAATCAGAAAAATAAGTGAATGAATGAGAATTTTAAAATATCAAATGATCATCTATTACTGTATTTGTTTTTTGAAATAACAACTCTGCTTTGAGAGTTAAATTTTATTGTAGACTAAATTGTAATAATTTTTCCACTTCATATAGATCTTTATTTCTTGTATTAAATTATTATAATTTAACTTCAACTTCTATAGGAACTAATGTACTTTTCATATAACTTTATATTTCTTCATTTGAAGCACAAGTTTGATTCTCTTTTAAGTATTACTATTAACAAGTAGTTATTAATAAATAGTAATATCTACAATTTTCCTGTGTTTTATCATTACGAGCATTTTTAACAATTTCCATTCTCTCCATTTCTATCCGATTTGTTCCATAATTTGATATTTCAGTATTAGTCAATATAGATTAATAGGATATTGGTTTATTATTTTCTAATATGACTGCAATAGGCATCAATATATTTCCTTGTGTAGCAAAAGGATCAATGATTGAATCATCATAACGAACAAAAGATAATTCTATTAATTCTTCTGGCATTTCAAATTTTTCAAAAGCTGCAACTGCAGTTTCAATAAGGATTTTGGGTAATATCTGTCCAGATGCCCATTATTACAAAACAAAAATAAAATAAGCCATACATACACTATAGACTGAAAGTGTAAATATGCCTCCAATAATAGATTTATGTTCTTATTCTGAATGTACAATTCTTTGTTTAAATTCAGCTCCAAAGTTGTCGATTTTAGATAAGTAATGAATCATTATTATATTATATAAAAAGTAATTATTCATTTAAATTTAGAAATGAACAAAGGCTATATTTTATTAGAGATATTATATTAATTGAATCTATTGGTAGCTATATAATTATTTTGGAGATCTTGAGAAAACTAATCTTTTTATGACAATTATCGACTATGATAGGGAGAATAAATTTAGGTTAATGTGATTTTACCTGTAGGACTTAGAGGTGGATTATTATATTTTAAAGTTGTTCTTTCTTTCTTTTTTTATAATGACACACTAGATTAATGTTTTTTCTTATCAGACTTTTTTTTGAATACAAATTATCTAATTTTAGATACTTTTTCTAATTGAAACCAGATATGATTTAAAGCTTCATGTGATGATAATCGTTCATTTTAATCATCATTCAATATGCATTTCAAAAATTATAATCCAGTATTACTTAATTTACAATCATTGAAATTGATTTAACCAAGTTAATTATTTATTAAGATTTATTTAGAATTGATATTATCAAATGGATTTTTACCTACTAATACATAATACATGATGACTCCTATACTATATACATCCACTTTATAATCATAAGGTTCATTTCTTAAGATTTCAGGTGCTATATATCCTGGAGTACCACATCTTTTAAATAAATAGAGACCATCACTATGATAGAAATCTGCCAATCCAAAGTCAGTTAAACATATACTATCTAAGTTATCAATTTATCTAAATATAATATTTTCTGGTTTAATATCTCTATGCATAATTCCTTTTGAATGTAAATATGATATTGTCTTAATCAATCTAAATATAAATCTTGCTGTTTTTTCCTCTGAAAAAAATGAACATTTTTCTATATGTCCATCCAAATCTTTTCCAATTAGAAGTTCAATCACTATATAAATATTATCTGAATTTTCAAAAATCTCATTGAATTTAACACAAAATTCAGTCTATACAATTCTCAAAATTTTAATTTCCTTGAATAATGAAATTAAATCTGCTTCATCAATAAATGATGATTTTTTTAAGATTTTTACAGCATAATCATTTCCATCACTATTATTTTTCGCTCTATATACCTAGTTATTTAGGGATTATCTTACTTCAGTAAATCTTCCTTTACTAATCTTTTTTATCAATACATATTATTTCTAGAAATCACTTTATATTGTATGTCTTTTAAGTAACTTAAACCATTAATGTGACTCACTATAAAATTCAACTTGATCAAAACACTTCACTAAGCGAATCCCTTTTGAGTCTTACAATTAGTCTATAATACTATTTTCATAGTCAAGCCAAAATGTTTGATCCTAAATTAAGAAATCCATTATATATACCTGATCATCATAGACTAAATAATTGTCATATACTTTAAGATCTCTGATTTATAGACTATCCCCTTCTTTTATTTTTACAGTATCTCTATATTAAAATGAAGCAAATTCGAAGGGTAATGGAGTTGAACTCCACTTCATTTCAGTGTAATTCTATTAGAAGAAAGATCTGCAATGCTTGAATTCACAACTATAATAGCTAACAACTATTTTACTTTGGATTTAGATCCTTGTTAAACATGAGTAGATTAATTTAATATCATCCAATAATATTAATTTTTTCATAAATTATCATTTATAAATTAGTCCTATCTAAAATAATCTCAATAAGATTTCCTTATAAGAAATAAAAAAAGTAGATTTTAAATATCATGAATTGAGTATGATAAAATTATAGTAAAATAAAGAAACATAATTGTTTATTATTATATTATAAAATTAAGTATCTAAAATTCCAAAATTATTAGAAAGTATTTCATCTATTCAAATGATTGACTTTTTAAATCTATTATCCCATAATTATTATGCTTAAGAATAATTATAGATATTTAAGTCAAATTTGTCTAATTATATTAATAGTGGCCTATTTCTGAAGTTAATTCTACTCAATATTGAAACTAAACTCATAAGTATCACTTTACTATTAAACTATGTGTCCTAATCAATCTTATCTTTAAATAAATTAGTTATTGAATTTACACATAAATAATTTTTGCTTAATGTTGTAAGAGAAAATCAATAATGGAAAATAAAAATCAAAGAAAAACTATTTGGGTTTAGGACTTGTAGTTTTAGTTCAATTCTTATTAATTTGGGGATTATATACAGCCTTTATATACTAAAATCAAAATTCATTAAGCAATTGTTTAAGAAATTTAGCAATAGCATTATGGCTTATATCAGAGATTTGTTATATTAGAACATAATTTTCAGACCCAGGAGAAATACTTTAGAAAACAGTACCATTAAAGTTGCTTCATGATTAGCAATTACTTTAATATTATCAAAATATTTGTAATAAGTGCAATAGTTGGAAACCACCAAGAGCACATCATTGTAGAAGATGCAATAAATGTATTTTTAAAATGGATCATCATTGTGAATGGACTAATAATTGTATAGGAGCTTTAAATTAAAAATACTTTGTACTATTTCTATTTTATGTATTTTGTTACATTATAACAATCTTTTCAATTCATATTATAGGAATCTATTCTTACATTATAAGAGATTAATAAAATATATGGAATTTAATAACAAACAATAAATTTAAGATTTTTGAAGTCTTCCTTTTTATAATACTTTGTACTTTCTTTTCTTTTTTTGTCATTTCAATGCTTTGGGATTAAATTTAAGTAATTAGAGATAATTAAACAGTTGTTGAGTCATTATAGGGTAAATTTGGTAGATAATAATCATTTTTTAAAAATATGAAATAATTTATGGGAAATTAAAAATGGTATTATTGGATATTACCTACTACTCCCATATTAAAGTTAAATTATGCAGAAATAGTATATGGAGAATAATTAGTAAATTTGGGAACATCTTATTTAGAAGATATCATTTACGATGAATAGAATCCAAAAAGTGCTTATTTTGCTGAATTTATGGTAGATAATTATAAAAAGAAATTGGCTTGATCTATTAATTCTGATTTTTTATAGTTATAAACTTTATAAATAAATATAAACTTTATAAATAAATAATAGCAATTATAGATTAAGAACTTTTTTCAATACTCTATTAAATAAATATTAATATATGGATAATAACTCAATTAAATTCTAATTCATCTGGTTTGATTACTTTTCCAGTAGGTTTCTATTTTAATTTTTATTTATCTCTTAACATTGATTTTCTCATATCTAATTTGATATAATTATTGATACCATAAGCATCTTCATATTTTCCATTTTAACTACTGTAATATTAATATACTGTTTGATATATTTCATATCCAAAATTTTAATACATCAAAACTGCAATTTTATTTGAAGGTCGTACAAACAAATCTACATACCATCCATTTTAACTATTTGTTACATCTTCTATATAATTCATCAAGAATCTTGCTACTCCTTATCTTCTATATTCAGGTGCTACAGTAATTGCCTTAATAAATTAATATGATATACACTAATATGACCATGCCAATTCTATTTATTGTTATTAGCTTTTTCTCCTTCAATCTTTCCCAATACTTAATAATAATTTTTAGTATTTTACAATATCCTTAGAAATTGCCAAAATGATTTTTAATGGAAATACAAAATTCTGGCCATTTAGCTATATACTTTCCATAGAAACCAACATTGAACTTAATTTTAGTATTAATAGTTACTGTTTCAGTCAAGATGTCTAAATTTATGTTGTTGTAATCTAAAATATCGAAAATTTGAAATGGTTTAATAGTTGACATAATAATAAATAAATTAATGAATTAATTACCAAAAGAGTCAATTATAAAGTTGTAATCACACATAAATAAAGAAATTGTAATATAATTTTAAGGGGGAAGATAAGTCAAAGGCATCTTATTATCATTTGATATTCAACTCAATCTAGTATTGGATGAAGTGAGAGAATTACCATCTCAAAGAATATTAGGACTTGTAATTTGCAGAGGAGCTTTGATAAATAGTTTTGCTATTGATGGAATGGTTGAAATTGAAAATCCATATATATGATTTATAATATAAATGAGTGGTCAAATAGATCCATTAAAAGCTTTAATTTTTAGGGATTACAATTAATTTTCAATTAGTATCTGAATTTAATGTATTTCAATATAAATAAAGAAACAATCTAATAAATAATCAATAATCTTTCTTTAAAATTGAGAATAATAAACAAAGATAAATTTTCTTATTTATTTAAATATGATAATTATAAGACTCTCTCGTCACTTCTCAAAAATCAAGAAGGACTTATTAACCAACCCAGAATTTGATAAAATCCATCCTTAATTTCTTGATCATAAACCACCTACTACTTTACATAGATAGTCTAAAGAAGTGCCTTATATTAAGTCCCTTTTGAGATATAAAGATATTGCAATACCAACATTTGAAAATGCTTTGCATCAAAATGTAATATTATTATGTTATTAAGCAAGTTTAAAACATTTGTTGAAGGTCATGTCAGTCCAAAAGGAGCATTAAAGAATTTATCAGAAGAATAAATGAAATAAATCCAAACTCAAGTTACTAAGAAATTACAAGAATTAGAAGATACTGGATTATCAAGAGAAGAGATTCTAACAAATGGTGTAGATGTATAAACATAATTAAAAGAAATTAGAAAGGCATTCCATTAAGTTATGATGCATTTTTCTAGTTGTTAAAAAATAATGAGTAAGCACGTTTGGTTTATTTGGCTCCTGGAGAAGAATTCACTGTTTAAAAAATAGTTGATATTGCTTTGAGATAAGATATTGGTAAGGATTAATTTAATGTTCCAATTAATAAATATCCAAATAATATGAAATTAAAAAACCATGATAAATAGAAAGACATATTAATAAATACCAAAGATCATTTAGAACATGTAAATGAATTGGTTAGTGATGAAGTTGTATATCATCATCATCCTTAACCTAAAAGACCTATTAGAAGAGTCAATAATTATGATATTCATTGGAGAAATACAGAATTCTTAATTTAATTTTTAAATAAAAGTGCAAAAATTAAAAATAGATAATAAACTAACCTTGCAGAAGTTTAACATAAAAAAGTAGCAAGATCCATTAAAACAGCTAAACATATGTGTATTTTTTATATTTCTAATATTTTAGTACTCTTACCATCCAATTCATCAATACAACCTTACCATAAGAAATCACTTACTAGCTTTGAAAATGATATCTAAGAATTTGCAAGAAGAAAAGTAAATTTGTCTACAGGATAAATTTATACAGAAACACCATTATAAAAAAGAGAAAGATCATTAGAAAGCCAAACTATGATAGAAGATGATTAAGAAATAAATCCAGGAACACCTAGACCAAATAATTTAAATATTATCAAAGGTATTGTATATGCAGAGAAATTGAAAAAGAAAGAATTAGAATAATAAGGAATAAAATTGACTAAAGAAGAAGAAGATTTAAGAAATTATAGATTCAATGGTAATGATGTGAAATTCTAAACTATGAGGGATGAATAATTGTTAAAATAAGAAATCAAATAGGAAATTTTAGCAAAAGATGGTGAATTTGTAGAAGAATTTAATTAAATCAAAGTAAATCATTTTTCTAATTTAAATTATAGTCAAATGTTGAGAAAATTCCTACCTATTATTTGAGTTAAGCATTTATAAGTGAATAAACCTTATAAATGGAAAAACTATAGGAACTTGTATATTAAAAGCCAAAATAGGCATATACTTATGATGAAAGTTTAAGAATTATTGAAGAAGTCAAATCTAGATTAAATAAGTGATATTGTTGATATTCAATCATACACGTGTTTAAAACCAACATCTGTTTCACAAGATATTATTCTCTTTTCTAATGTTCCTGTTACATCTTGCAATTTTTCTTTATCACTTTTTAAAACATTTAATTGTGCATCCAAAAATTCACCATCATGTTTAACATCTTAAGATTTCTTTAAAGCTTCATTTAATAATCTTTTTGCCTTAATTTATTACTATCAGTTATACATCATTTTATATAAAAGTACATAGATCGTCGCTTGATTTGCCATGATTATTTTTTACTGTTGCTATTTCCATTCTTAAGTTAGACATTTCCTTTTTACTAATTTCTAAGTCTTTTTTAAGTTCAGCTAAATAATTCTTCAAATATTTTTAATCAATACTTCTAATTTTACAATGTGATCTTTGACATTTAATTAGAGACTCTCCTCGATTGATTTTTGTCTTTTTAACATAAGCTTTTATCTTTCCCTTTCTGGGTCTATTTCTTGATCAGATTCCAAACTCTCGTTTATCATATAAAAATATTAATAATTATCATTATGTGGTCTCAGAGTTTTTATTATTTTGGTATTGTTTCTCATAATCACTAGGGGATAATTTCTAAGCTTGTTCTATTTTCTTTTAAACATATGATTGATGAGCCAATGAATTTTATAATTCCATCATTGCTAATTGTTCTTATTGTTCTAATTCTGATATCTTAAAATCATATAACTTCTTTTCTTTAATTATCTAATCTTTTTCATTTTCTATTTGATATCTCACCTTTTCCCTTTTTTATTTCAATTTTAAAACAGCTACTTCAGTAGATTGCCTTTCTTCCTCTTTTACTTATATTGCTTTTATTCTATAAACTTCCTACTCCAAACTTTTTTGCATTTAAACACTCTAAAAATCTTTTTTTAGTTATTCTCTAAAAAGTTTTGCTTCTGATTTCTTTTTTAACATCTCATCTTCCTTTATTTTTTTAAGAATTTGCCTTTGATGATGAGATATAGCCAGTGAAAATGGAGGAGGTTATGCTTATTTTTACTTTAATTTATTTTCTTTCTATTCATTATATGAAATTATAGTGAACCTTTAATTAAATTTCAACTCTGTGTCTATATATTTCATCAGCTCTTTCTTCATCTTGTTAAATGCGTTTCAACACTTTTTCATGTTCGATTTTCAATTATAAAATACGATTCTAAATTTTTTAAGCATCTGTCTCTGCCTACTTTTTTTAAACAAGAGATGAAAACAATGTTTTCTTATCCAAGGATTACTCTCCTGAAGACATTTAATTGTCAATTAAAATTAATAGAGAAAATCAATTTATTATATCTGTATTTACTATATAAAAAGTAGAGTCATAAGATTTAATTTTAGAAATGTTTCTTATTATATTGCAAGGGTCTTTTATATAAATGATCTGTTGGAAGAAATAGTCCTTTTAAAGTATCCTTTATTTGATCTGGCTAAAGGGTTTCTCTTAATGTTTAATACAATATTTGTTCGCTTTACATTTTCCTTATAGTTTAAGTCTGATCTCCAACAGGTATATTGTCTATTTGATTAACAATATCATGTAATCTCGAATTAATTTATGATATTTTTCTATTAGATTTTATATCCTCCTATTGGTTTTATGGAGAAAAAGAAAATGGGACTTATATTTTGCGAGAAGTTTGCCCTTTTTTTCTAAAAAATTGTTCTGTATTTTATTTAGAATCACCATTTTCAGGTAGATGTCTTACTGTTTTAGCAAATGTCAAATGTTATTTTTGACCAGCTAAAAATGAATATATATATTATATTACTTATTAATATTTTATTGATTTCTTCTTTAGCCATCTCCCTTTATTTTTATCTATAATTTTTGGCTATTTAATGCATTAATATCTCTTTTTTTATTTAATCCTACTTTTTATTATAAATTTTCTTAGCTGCATTCCAAATCATTTTAATTACCTTATCTGATTATTCTTTATAATGTAGTGCATTTAAATGAGCTGTATCTTCTACTATTTCATCATTATCTTCAACATTATGTTAAGAAGATCTTTATGAACTCTTAAATTCAATATTAGTTATTTTCCTTTTATACTTACGAATTTATTAAAATTCCCACAATTTTGCTTTTGCTTCTATTTCTCCTTTTAATTGATCCTAATGAGCTATTTTTAGTTCTTTTCCTACATTAATTGGAGATTCATAATCATAATCAGAATTTTCTAATTCCCAACATTACTCATAATCTTCTTTCACTTATTTACTTTTTCTTCTTTATCTTTCTTATTATAGTTTATCTACAATTATATAAAATATTACAATTTTTAGCAAGCAAATAATCTACATACTCATGTTCCTATTCATTTACTTTCTCTTTTACCTTTAATTTAGGCATACTAAAATTAGCAGACAACAATCCTTTTGAATTAATAAATGATGACAAATTCTCAAATTTTTTCATATTTCTTTAATAAAATTGTACATCCTTGGGTATTTATTGATTCTTTAATTTACTCTATGTTTTATCTATTAGCTTATTGACTTTCTCAACAACAGTGTATTTTCTTTATTAAGGAAATTAAGTTAAAAATGCCAACTGTTGTATTTTTTTATTTGTTATTTTTGTAATTGTATTTGTTGCATTCTTCATGCTTCTATCTGAAGCTTAAGACTTTAGTATTTATTTTCTGTTTTCTTGCATATATAAATATAATAATAATATATAATTCACTGAGGTTGAAATAAAAAAGATATTTGAATATTTAATTTTGAGATAAGAATTTATTATCTAACACATATTCAATTTAAATGTTAGTTTCAAAACTAAATGTTAAAGATAAGATATCTTATTTATTAATAAATCCTAATATTTTAATATTATACTATGATGATTTTAAAATTAAAGCAATTTTTTAAACAATACTATTAATAATTATTAGATTGTATCACTAAATCAAACCAATAAAATTAATTTGATTTTTTATTTTTGGTTAATCTTTAAATAATATTGATAAAAATAACAAATGATTATAATCAAATTTTCATTTTATAATAATTTAAAACAACTATGTTCTTAAATAATTATTTAGAATTTAGAATAATACAAATTTATTAAGTTTAGTAAATGTAATTAAATCTCAATCAAATAAATTTTAGTATTTATTCACTAATTATTCTAGAAATTGAATATTGGCCTTTAAATCTGAATTCTAAGATGATAAATCAAAATTCATTTATTTTAATTAATTATTTTTTGTTATGATTTCTTCATAATTAGTACAATATAAAGGTTCAATAATTTGAATAGTCTAATCTGTTTGAATCTCTTAATCTTTAAAGAAGATTGTTGTTTATACTGAAGAATTAGAATATGTCTTTTCTTATTATACTTATTTTTCACAATTTTGTTTTGATAATTTACGAAGTTATTCATCTAAGATTTATCTCTATTATTCAATATAATTAATATTTTGTTTAAGTTGATCAATCTTACTTTCATAACTACATGTTAATTAATAAATTTAATCATTAATTTTTGTATCATATTCTCTACTAAGACGATCAAAAATAATTCTTTAGATAATTTAAATTCATACTTTATTTATTGTTCATTTTTTTCTTTAATTCTCTAAATTTCCCAAGTATGTCTTTCATTAATTTCATTTCTTTCTCTTAAAAATTATTATCTATATTATTCAAGTTAATATTCAAAATTAGTCTAAATCTAAATCTTTAATTATTATAAACTATTTTAATAATTAAATTTTTCTTCATCTTCCTTTGAAGCATATTATTATTTTATCTTATCTATTTATTATTCATAATATTTATGTAATTTTATTATTTCTTATTGATGATTTTATATTATTTATTATAATGTGCCTTCATTTTATTATTATATAATTGCTAACTTTTTATTATTTGCTTCATTCAATAAGTCTTGAGATTCTAAAAATGCTTAATGTATTATTTATTTATTTGTTTCTGTTTTTTTTCTTTCTACATCAACCAAAAATTGCATTTCTAATTTTGTTTTTTCAACCTTTAGATAATCGAAATATTCATACATCCAATTAAAATGATTTATTGATATCTTAAATTAAACATTTTTAATTCATCGAATTAACTCTCTTTCCCTTATATATTATAAAACTTACTTAAAACAGGATTGGAAGTAATTGGTCTTGTAGATATTCTCTGCTTTGGATACATTGCAATTAATATTAAAAGAATAATAAAGAATTGCCCTATATAATAATTTTAATGTATTAATATATTGATCATATTATATATAAATGAAAAGTCTCTTAAAATTTATTTATTTTATAATCAATATAGATTTATAGTCAATTTAGTCACTTAAAATATAATATTGTTACATTATAATATACTATTACATTTTTAAGTAAGTTGTTTTGTCGTTATTTTAATTTTTATTATGATGAATATTTTACGAATTGCAGATTTTTTTGGAGTGCCCTTTATTCAATAAATCGATTAAAAGTAATCAATTTACAAAAGTGCTTTTGGAGGATTAATTACTTTTCTTATTTGTTCTGCAAGTTTGGGATATGCAATTTGGGTGCTCTACTAATGGTAGAACAATTAGTTAAGTCCTAAGATATCTAATTCAATGTATGTATCAGATTTTTCTCTATTGGATTTAAATTATGATGTTCTCAAACTCTATTATTGGAGAATTGAAGAAGATTATATTGATCCTTTTGAATCTAAAATATTAATTCCTTTAGTTATGTACACAACTAATTTTAGTTTTACAGAACTTTAAACTATAAATAAATCAAATGAAATATCTAATGATGGATAACAATATTATTTACCAAAAATGAGCTTAGCATTTTAAAATATAGATGGTGTTATATATACAACATCTGAAATGTACATATAAATAGTTAAATGTTCAGAAATTTATCTTAATGAAAATGAAAAATGTGCATCTGAGGAATTAGTAGAGCAATTCTTTTCATAGCCTGTTAATACAATTATTTTACAGTTACATTATAAATAGTTGAATTCTCGAGATGGAACAGAATAAACGAGTTATTAAGAGTTTTACATTTAAATTGAACGATAGAATTGTTATACACTTAATACTTTTCTATAAAGTAATTTTTATGAGGTTCAAGATTCTTTTTTATTTGGATTTTCAAGATATATTGAATATATTAATGGTGCAATTATATAACCTTAAACAAATTCATTAGAATTTTGTAAATAAGGTTATGGAAATGATGCTTTAGGTGTAATTTTCTTAATAATGAAAGGAAATCAAATTAAAACTATTTTTGAATATCCAAATGCAGGTGATCTATTAGCTAATATTGGTTCAATTGTATCTGTATTATTTATGATCAAACATGTTATTATCATTTTCAACTAATACTATCTCAATAAAAAAATATTGAAAGAATTAATATAAATCTATTATCCAGAATTTAAAAATATCACTTTTAAAAAAAATTGGAGATAAAAAACCATAAAAGTATTTCATAATAAATTAGAAGTAGATTTGAATTAATTTAAATTATTTTATAAGAAAATAAAAACTTAGATTTAACCAAAATTAAGTTACATCAATTTATTATATGAAATGTCAAGAATATATTTCATTATTAGATCATTTAAATATAGAGAAGAACTTAAACGATCTCATTAAATAGGAATTAAAATTGATCTGACATAACCAAAAGAATTTATCGATTCAGGTTTGAGCCCCAATTTAAAAAATAGAATCTCATTTACAGGATAATTGCTTAATGATGATGATACAGATTTATTATCTTTTTATAATTAAAGTAGAGAAAAAAATAATATAATGATTCCAGATGAAATTTACTTAGAAAATGATTTTTATGAAATTAATAAAGTTTATTGAAGCAAGGTATTTATTAAGGTTTTTAGTTATTTCTTTAATTAATTTTTTAATATAAAATAAAACTTCTTTGATGATGTCTTGTTGAAACATTAATTTAATTGTATCTCTTCAGGATAGTACATATTAAGTTTTATCAAGGAAATAGTTTTTTTATAGAGTTTTTTGCAAAAATCATAATACTCAACCAATTAAGCTAGATAAAAAAGCTAAATATACCATATTTTTAAATTAAAGTATTGATTTTGGACTTATCCAATACTTTAATATTAAATCCCTATTCTAATTTTGTTAACGTGGAAAAAAAATCTGGAGTTTATTGTACAATTTTAGTCTTTTTATTTTATTATTATTCATATATTTAATAAAAATATTAAGATATATTTTTATTAAAAATTCCCATTTGATTTATTTATGAGAAATAAGTTAATTTATAGAATAAGATGAATAATTATTTTAAAGGAAAACTTTGAAAAAATAATATAGATCTAAAATAAAAGAGAGGATAAACTTATATTGGTTAATTGTAGTCTTTAAAAACTAAAATAACATTATTTAAGCACTTTTTTAAATAAAATATATAAATTAACTATAAATTTATAATGCATCCAAAAAATAGTACACCTAATTTTAATGTTGATAAATAATCTATCAATAAGAATTCATGTCCTAATAGGTCTGTCTAAAATTGTAATTATAATTTTTAATTTTTAGTTAGTGTTTATGATGACTATTAATATAAGAAAGTAATTCCAAAGTTAGATTCTAAAGATTAAATGTTTCACTCTCATATTTTTGATTCAACAGAAACCTTAAAATAATAAATAATAGATCTACAAAAACAAATAAAAATAAAGGAACTTAGTAACGAATAATTAGCTAATGCACTTTTTTAATAACAATAAAAATATGAAGAACTAAAAATAGTTTATATTAAGGCTGAAGAAGAAAAAAGAAATGTTCAAAAAAAAATAAAGGAACATGTAGAAAAGAATGAGTTTAACTAATTTGATATGAAACAATAATAAGAAATAAATACGTTATTTCAGAATGAAAATACTTAATTGAAATTGGCAGCTGTTAAAGTAATAATTCTATATAAATTAGCTTAAAGATACTATTTTAAAATTATAAAGTGAGAATAAACAATTGAAAGATTAAATTGAAGCTTTAATGAACAATCCATTGAGTTGTGAAAGGAAAGGTAGTTCTAGACTTTCATTTGATTATTTACTAAATGAAGCAGATTAAACCTAACCTATATAAGGTAATTCTGGAAGTACACTTCAGAATTGCGAGAAAAATTGTATTTGTTCAAAAAAATTATTATATTAATAAGCAGAAATAAAAAAATATTAAAATTAATTATTTGAAAAAGACTAACTTATAACTAAATTAACACAATAGAATAATGTTCTATAGAAAGCTTAAATGAAAATATAAAAATGTTAGAAAAAATAAAATCTTTTTGGAACTCCTGAAATTGAATTAGCAAAATAAGATCCTGTATTAATTTAAGATGATAGTAATGATACTTCTCGATAGTTAAATACATATTTAAGTGATAAAAAATTCAATAATATTAGTAATGCTTAAGAATCCTAAATGCCAGTATTAATATAATATGAAATTTAGTTAAAAACATCTTCTAGTGCAAGATCAGTTTTAATAAATAAATCTAAAAGAGAAGTAGAGTAAATATATAAAAAAATGAATTAGTCAGCTTTATTTACGGCTAGCTTATTTTCAACAATGCTTGATTATAAACATTTGCATGAAAATAGTTCATAAATCAGAAGTACTGGTTTTAATTAGGTAAAATAATTATGATAAATTAATTTTGTTATCATTTTAAACTCCCTATTGTAAGTCTAATAAATATTATTTTACTATTCATTTAACTAAATCATAAATATTACATTTAATATATATATTAGAAATTAATATTTTTAATTAAGTAAATAAAAAGTTAATAATATAAATTTATAGTATTCTATAATTAGATTATTCTAAATTCATTCAAATATATTGATTTAATAATAGGAATTATATAAGATTATTTATTAATTATTTATCAAAATTATTTTTCTGGAGATTTTGATAATTTTTTTGATGATTAAGTAAGCATTTTATAATCTTCACTCATTTCTAATTCTGATTTTACTATTTAAAGTTCTTTTTCTAATCTCTCTATATATGTATCTCTTTCTTCCAATTTTTTTTAATAATCTAAACTTACATGAGACACTTCCTCTTTAAGAGTCTTTAGTTTCTTTTCAATTTTACTACCTTTTTCTTCCTTTAATTATCTAATCAAACTCTAAAGGTTACTATTTTAGGATTTTAATTAGTCTTTTTCATGTTTTAACTATTTATTTTATAATTCAATTTCCTTTAGTTTTAATTATTGATTTTCAAATTCTTCTTTTACTCTTAACATAGAATCAAGTTAATTTTGCAAATCAATATTTTACTTATAATTATTTTAATAATTACTTAAGTAAGTTCTTTTAATTAACTTCCAACATTTTCCTCTAAAAATAATAATCTCTTTTCCAAATCATTTTACCTTTATGTTTCTTATAAGGATTATGTTTGTTTATGCAATATTTGATCAGCCATTTATTTTGAGATTTTTATTAATTCTGTCATTGTGTCTTTAAATTAATTAATGCTTAATTATGGCATATCTGTTCTTATTCTAATTTTTAATAATTTAGTTAAAGTTTTAATTGTTTTATGAAGATCTGATATATATTTTTGAGGTACTTCAATACTGTCAACAGCTTAGAATTTTTATTGCAAATCAGTTTTCAAATCACTTATGTTTAACATATAAATTTTTATTAATTTAATACTTAAAACCAAAAGGATATAAAAAATTATACATTCAAATTTAATTATCTTGAATAAAATAACATAGAGAAATCTATATACTTTTAAATCATAAGTAAATCCAATACATTTTTAATAAATTGTAGCAATCCAATTTTATTTATGAAATATTATCATAATTCTATATTTATTTATTCATAGATAACTTTAAATATTAAAAATTTTGAATTAATTCATTAAAATGTATAATGTTATTTGAAAATACAATAAAATAATTAGGCTATCCATTTACAAAAAAAATTACATATTTTAACAGAAAATGATCAATAATATTATATGTAAATAGATAGAGTAACAATATAATAAAAAATAGGATCTAATTAAGAGTTTTTTAAGATCTAAAATAAAAAATTAATATTTATATAGTTGTTAAATATATTATTATTGTTTTTGTAATTTTCAACGAATAAATGGCAAAAGACTTTTATGTTTTAAGTGTAAAATTTGATTCTATTATTAGAAATAAAGCTCTCAATAATGCTTCAGTTCATTAGGCAATTTTGAATCTATCCAACATGTAAACGATTCTAATAAATGGGATGATGTAAAATAGTCAAGATAAGACTTAATGAAGAAATATCATCAATTCAAGACTAATGAAGCAAAATAAACAACTCTTTCTACTTATTAATCTTAAAAAGTAATGAAAATATAATTGTAGGTTCTCATTCCAAAGCTTGAGAATTTTGACATTAAATTAAATATAAAGAGAGATAATGTAATGAAAAATAGAGATAAAGAGAATATTATCAGTTCATAATAGAAACAGTAAGATAAACCTGGAATTAGTAGTTAAAGAATTAGATAAGAATCTGTATATGAAAGGTATAAAAATATTTATAGATAAAGATTATATAATTAAAGAGATGCAGAAAATAAAGTTGGTAGAACAGTATAAAAGAATCATATATTAATCAATAATTCAAATTAATAATCAAAATCAATATTAGCACATAATACTTTAATTTAAAAACGATCATCTGATCCATAAATTTTAATGCCAATATCCTCTTTGATTAAAAAAACATAAAAATAATAAATACTTTAATAACAGAATCAAAAAAACATATAACAATAAATGTTTCAAGAATAAAATAATAATTAAGAATTATTTAGAGTTAATATCAGTAGATAATAAATTAGCAATCCTGATAATAAAAATGAGTACTCTAAATAAAATTAGTCTATAGAATTTTAACCTAATGTTAATGTATCACAATTACCAATTAAGCATTGTTATTTTTCTTTAATAAATGCAGAAGAAAGTAAATAAAAATATTAAAATAGAGTTATAAAATAAAAAAGTGAGATCTTAAAGTACTGAGAAAATTAAAACAAAATAAAGCTTAAAATCATAAAAAGGAAATCGAGCACATACATAAGGAAAATAGGAAATTAAAAATTAATAAAAAATTAATAGATTATACGAATATATTTTGGAAGGGAATTATTGAGATATTACTTAATCATATATATACATTTAATTCAATTTATTCTGGTTTTTATTCAATTAATTCTATGATATGCTATTACTTCTTATTACTTATTTTCTTAGTAAAAAACTAAAATAAAATAGATATTGTAATAATTAAGATTATTAACACACCTATATATAATAAATTATAAAGTTTGTGATATTAGATATCTTTTAATTATTTCTATTCTTCTTAATGATTTTTTAATATAAAGGCTATAATTTATTAATATAATTACTATTTTAATGATTTTCTCCATAAAGATCAAAATAGAATTTAACCTCGCCTCCAAGATTAGATTCCTAATAAATTAAAAAATAAATTATTTAACTTCTAGGTTTGAATTTATTAGTAGAAAAGGTATTATTATTAATTTATAGGATATTTAATTTACTAGTATCAATTTGATCTCTATTGAATATTTGATCATATTTAATATCTATGTAATATGCTTCAATAAGTTAAACATTATTAGAAACAACGAAATATTAATTAGAACCATTAGATACACCATGATTAATGCATAAAATTTCAACAATATATTATTTTGGAGATAATACTTTGTTAAATTTCTCATTATCATCCAAATTATATTAATATAATTTTATAATAAGTGGTTGAAATGGTAAGTAATTAATAAAATGTATTAAAGGAGGAAATTCAGTATTTAATAATTTAAGTGTTTATTCTTGATCTGGATAAAAGTTTTAAAAAAAATTAGAGTAAGTTTATTCTCCTAATTCTGGACTTATAGCAATAATACCTTTTAAAATTGAAATATAAATACCTTAGGATAGCATCCAATCAGCAGCTTCTCCATTTGCAGTATATTAGACTAATTCAATAGCATGACCTATTTTATAATTACCTTAAAATTAACCATTTTACTTAAAGTCTTCATAAATAAGATATGGAACTCCATCTTTATCAAGATCCTCATTATCATAACTATAAGGTAAAACCCATAAATTTCCAAAACAATGTAGATTCATAGCCATTTTAATATTATAATTTTCAACAACATATTTAATAGCTTATGTTTCTTTCTCTGAAAATGCAGCACTTCCTCTATAGGTTTCATCACAAGGATCATTAGAACTACCAATATTATCATGACCAAAATGATATCCATAGTTTCTATTTAAATCAATTCCTGCTAATTCATCTAATTGATTACAAATAATTGTTCTATTAAGATTTTTCCTTGTTAATGGTTAAAAATAATGTTTATTAAATTCATACTCAATTTCATTATATCCATCTATATTAACAAATGGGACAATCCTTTATTTAATAAAAAATATATACATAATACAATTATGAGTAATCATATTAATATAATATGGATTCTTTTAATGTTTTACTTCCCATAAAATATAGAGAAATAAATATATATTCATTTACAAACTAGCTACTTCTCTAGAATGATGTAAACTAGTTATAAGCATCATTGGTTTATCTTTAGTAAAATTAGAGCATAATGTATAAGAATATATAGTTTTATTAAGATAAGATTCTCCTATTTATTAAGAGTGAACAAGATTAGTAGTGTTTTCAAGTTCTTCAAATAAATTTTCAACATCTTTAATTGCTAATCTACCTTAAGGTAATGAACCATTTATCAATTCATTTTTGATATGGTTAAGATCTTGATTAATTATACCCTTGTATTGAAAGGATAAGAATGTTGGTATCAATTAAAATAAAATTATCATTAATATAATTAAATAATGAAAGTAAAGAGTGCTTTGAAAAAGATGTGTGAACATTGTTATTTCTAAAGAAGAGGTAAAAAGGTGTATGTGAGATGCAAATCTGATCCTCGTCATAAATAGAGATAAGGAAATAAATTCTGTACAATTATAGGAAATCCCTATGTTGAGAATGGAATGTTCATCTAAATACCTCAATTTCCTGAATATCATATTGATTTCAAGGATTTTATTAAGAGGTTACCATTTATGTGAGTTAATTATAAAAAGAGCATACAAATAATCATTATATACTATTGTGTTTCAAAATTAAATTTAGTTGTGAAAATTTGTTTTTATGCACAACATAATTTAATTATCAACTTTTATAAAATCATAAAGAACAAATATAAGCTTATAAAAATTAAATATAATTACAATAATATTAAATATATTGTAAATATAATTAGATATCTAATATTTTCATAATTATTTAAGCTATTATACTTCTTGTCGCCAGGATAGACTAAATTCATTTACTTTTGATAAGAATTCTTCTTAAAAATTGGAATCTCTATTGATATGTTTTAAATCAATTAATTTAGGTATTGGTTTTTACACTTAATCATATTCTTTTAATTGGCCATATACACTATTTTGAATATCATTTTATTTTAATGTTTCTAGAGTCTATTTCAAATCTTCATTTTCTTTAAGGATAGGAATCTTGATTTGCTTCAACATCTCAAGATTTTTGGACCATAGATGACTTGCCTATTATTCATATGATTATATTATTTGGAACATTTGGCTTAATAGATCGAGCAAATCAGGGACTGTGGTATAGCCTGAGGAATGAATACTTTCTCTTCACTTTGAATTGATTTCAATTTTTAATGAATGGAATACGCATTACTATTGGAAGATGATGTCTATCTCTAAGAAATTGGCATTTTTGGGGGTGAAAACTAAGGACTCGACTTTCTCTTGTTTTTGTTCTTTCTATGAATATATAAACAATTTCATTTTACCTTAACTTATAGTCGATTAATTTTTGAACTAGGATGTTTTGGGAAATTTGATTCATTTTTAATTTAATTTTAGAAGTGAATAATATAAACTCTAACGTGATATATAATTATTCTTAAAGATAAAAGATATTTTACTTTAATACTCTCTATTTAATAATTAGAATTAAGATAATATTCTAAATTTAGAAACTCATTTAATTATTACTAGATTTAAGATTTCTATAAGTCTTTATTTGAGTATTAAACTTAAGTGATACATAAGTGATCAAATAGTTAATAATTTAATATGATAAGATTTTAAGAATAATGTTAAATTGAGAATAGCTTTTAAGTATAAAAGGATATAGATTTAGTTTATTAAATAATTAAATATTTAGAAGCACAATAACATTTTTTCATGCTGGCTAATAGAGACTGAACTATTTAAGTTAAATTTATGAGTTACTTTATCTGGATCTTTAGAATCTGTTGTGGATGTATGAGATGGACTAGCTATTCTATAAGGGGAATTCTACAAACTTGATTACAAAGAGTAGTTATTGCTGGCTAGATTATATTTGTGATTTAATTTTACGTAAATATGAATTAATGTTTGGGGCAGGTAATGCTAATTATTATTAGGGATGTTAACGATTGTATGTAAATACATTAGGATCAAATTAGAAACAGAATTCTTAGAATTCTTTTAACATATATAATTTTTACATTAATTCTATCTTGAAAATAGATAATGGATTGGACTATTATATTAATAATGTGAATAGGGTGATCCAATTTAATTATATTAGTTGTTTTCATTATATGGTACTATGTAATTGGATTCAGATCTACCAGGAGAATGCTCTTCATAAGAATTTTTGAGAATATCACCTATCTAAATTGCTATTATTGTTATATTAATGAAATTTTCATACCAATTTAAGGTAGATTAGAAACAATTTTAGTTAGAAGAATGGAAATCGTATCAAATTTTTTATTAAACTGTTGTTACATTTGATTTAGACACTTTATTATAGATAATCTTATTACTTGTAAAACTGAATGATTTGAACGGCTAACAGTAGCATTAGATTCAGCAGAAGCTGTAAAATCAGCTTGCATTTTAGTTTATGTATTTTAAATCTCTCTTACTATTTGTCTCATCTCCTCATGCTCTCTTTTATAGTTTTCAAGTTCTTAATTATTGTCTTTTGTTTCTATTTTTTATTCTGACTCTTCTTAGTTTCTTCTTCGAATATACTGGAGCATACTTCTAAAAACAGAATTATTCAGATTTCATACTTGAGACCTCGTCTAAACCATTTATGTCTGAATTCACTTTGCCCATATTAGTTTTTAGTTTTCTTAAAATTGTACATGTTCAACTATCTAATGTAAAAAGCACTTTAACCTCAGAAAACTTGGATAGTTTTTATGTTTGAAATAATTCGCAAGTACTTTTGATGCCAATTCATTAGTATTGAAAACAATGAACGCATTGCCTTCTTAATTCCATCCTATTATGTGTGATAATGATGAATTCTCAAAATGATATGAAATTCTTACTTCAAGTATCTCATATGTTTTTAAAAGGAATGATGGTACATTGACTTTGAGAGGGGGAAGTTCATTGATGTCTTAATTTGACATTATAATAATATTAGGAATTTTCAAGAATTTAAAAGACTCTAAAACTAAAAATTCTAATGTTATAATTAAATATCTCATTTCTAAAAGACAATAAAGATCTATTGCTTGAATTATTTATAATTATCATCAATATGGATTGAAGATTTACATGATGTTATATTTTTATATAAAACTAATTTTTATATAATAACAATAAATATTTAATATTGATTCTAATATTGTTGATTTTGTGGCTATAGAATTCTGATCTCAGATAAAAAATTAATATTTTTGTCTTAATTTCAGAAAACAATCAAATATTGAATAAATATGTATAAAATTAGAAGATTCTACCTCACAGAATAATAAATACTTAATTTCTAATTATATCAATATTAACATAAAATTATATCATATTTTTTACTAAGATAATGATAATATGAAATCATAAATATGTTGAAGTATAGTAACGAGCATGAGTCTTATCTTTAATTATTTCATCAACTTAATTCCAACCCCATTTAATTACTGGTCTTTTATGAGGAGAAAGTATAATCATATGTTTAGAAATCATGGCTAATTACATACATAAACCTGGCAATAAGGAATCATCAGCTAAATGCATTGCATAACTACAAATAATTAATGAATATTCATGATCTCCAATTTATCCATCTGCAATCTATTCAAACGAAATAGGTAGACATTCATCTCCAGTTCTTTTTTTGAATGCTTACATAGTGTAAGGATCCATTGCTACAATATTTTTGACTCCCAAAGATTTTAAAATTAGTGTGATTTCTCCACTACCACATGCTAAATCAAGAACTTTTATTAATTTTGGTTTCCATTTAGCTAAGGCAATCAAAAGGACCTATTTTATTTTATCTTCATGAGGATTTTTATAATTAGATCCATATTCTTGATAATACTATTCATGTCCTATTTATTCATAACCTTCTCTTATTGATTAAAACTAATTCATATTTAATTAATGATTCAAGACTTATCTAAAGACACAATCCAATGTACTTACAAAAGAGGTGCAAATGAATAACCTCCAACACCACATTCAAAAATAGAATTTGTTCCCTTTAAGAAAATATACAATGATGCACTTGATGCTGTAGGTCACACTCCTATGATTCGTTTAAATAAAATCCCAAAAGAATATGGCTTAAAATGTGAAGTGCTTGTTAAGTGTGAATTTTTAAATGTGGGTGGATCACTCAAAGATAGAATTGGTGTTAGAATGGTTTTGGATGCTGAAAAATAAGGTCGTCTTGGACCAGGTAAATCACTTGTTGAAGCCACTTCTGGAAACACAGGAGTAGGATTAGCATTGGCTTGTGCTGTTAGAGGATATCCTTTAGTAATAACAATGCCTGAAAAGATGTCTTAAGAAAAATAAGATGTCCTTACAGGTCTAGGTGCTAAGGTTATTAGAACACCAACAGAAGCTGCTTGGTATGAACCTGAATCATTGATTTAAGTGGCCAAGAAGATGGCTACTGATGATCCCAATGTTATATTATTAGATTAATATTCTAATCCTTCCAATCCTTTGGCTCATTATGAAGGTACAGCTGAAGAAATCCTATGGGCATGTGATGATAAATTGGATGCTGTTATTATTTCTACAGGAACTGGTGGTACAATTACTGGAGTTGGTAGAAAAATTCATGAAAGAGTTCCAGGATGTAAAGTTATTGCTGTCGATCCCTATGGATCTGATTTAGCCTTACCTTAAGAGGTTAATAAAACAGACATTAAAACATATAAAGTTGAAGGAATTGGTTATGACTTTATTCCAAAAGTTTTAGATAGAGTAAAATCATAAACTATTATTATAGACTGAAATTGACGGTTGGGTTAAAACAGTTGATTATGATAGTTTACTTATGGCAAGGAAATTATTATCTTAAGAAGGATTGTTATGTGGTGGTTCTTCTGGTGCAACTGTATGGGGAGCTTTGGAATGGGCCAAATCTTAAAATTTTACAGAAAATTAAAGAGTAATTATATCTATATGATAATCTTTTTAGATTGTCATCATTTTACCTGATAATATTAGAAATTATATCACTAAACATTTGAGCAAGACATGGATGATAGAAAATAAATTTATTCCTTATGATGAATTAAAAGAGACTGGACATCCATTAGCTGGAAGACCTATTACTGATTTGAATTTACATGATATTTAATCTTTAGATGTAACAACAGCAACCATTGGATAATGTTTGGAAATCTTAAAGACACAACCTGCTGTTCCACTCTAAGAGAATGGTAAATTATTGTCAGTTGTTTTCGAAAAGAAAATATTGGCTGGAATTGTTAATAAAAAATTGAATCATGTATTATTACAATATTATTTAAGGCTGATCTTGCTAAAAAAGTTCATTCTAAAGAATTTGTCCTTGTTCCAAATACACTTGATCTTAATTAATTAGAGAGAATTGTAGAGAGACATGATGTAGTCTTTGTTGAAGATGGAGATAAACTCAAGTATGTCACACCTAGAGATTTATTGGGACTCTTTGCATGATATATTTAATATGAATAACAAAAATATAATTTTAATTTTCTTTATAATAAAATAATGGAATTTATTAGAGTCAAAAAATTTACAGATCCTTTGTTTTATGAAAAGAAATCAAAATTTAAAGAAGATCCTTAAACAAGAATTACAGCTTATCATTATTCAGATTAAGCAATAACACTTGGTTTGAGCAATGGATAAATGATGCAATTTAGAAAAAAAGGATTTGATACTAAACATTTCTTACAATCTAAAGATTATGAAATCTTAAAACCTGTAGAGAATAAAAATAATCACAAAGGAGAAATAAGATGTTTAATAATTGAGAAATTTTCTGACAGTTATTATATATTCACAGGTAGTGCTGATCGTACTATAAAATTATGGGAAAATGATATCAAGAAAGGTTGTATATAAACTTTATTTGGTCACACTGGATCTATAATGGCCTTAGCATTTGCTTAAGATAGTCTATTTTCAGCTAGTAATGATAAAGTATTAAGAATTTGGAAATAAGAGAGTGGAAGAGAGTTTATGTATCATCCATGGTTTGTAACTGTATAAATAATTTATGATTTTTCAATGAAGAAATCTTTGAATCAGCAATCATATATAACAGCATTTTTAGTAAAGATGCCTCAATTTTAACTTTATGCAGGTGATACTGATGGTTCATTGCATTTATTTATGAATTCATAACCAACTCTTCAATAATAATAGACATATGTAAAGTTAGAAAAAAGTTTTTTTACTTTCCATCGATTACATGTGATATAAATTATAGAAGTTGAAAAAGACAATGCAATATTCTCAATAGCATTTGATTAAAAAATATTAGGTTATGGTGAATCTGGTGGTAAATTCTTTAGTTATAAAAATCCTCATAAATGCCTATTTACATCAATTAGATGGAGTCAAACTCATTAAGAATTGATAGCTTCTGATGAATAAGGCAGAGTATATTTTATGAACATTTCTAGTGATAAATAGGTATTAGAATTCAAATTATACGAATGCAAAATCTTAGGAATAGATCTTATAGGTATATTCTTATTATTATTAAAGATCATTTGGAAGCATTGGTTGTATATACAGAATAATTTATTGATGTTTTGAGAATTAAAAGGGGTGTTAGAACAGGAAATCTTTTAGATTAACACAAAGGACCAGTTATTGAAATATTAGGTATAGATTGTCCTTAAGAATTTGAACCAAAGAAATTGGTATCAGCCTCTTTAGACAATACAATAAGAGTTTGGGATTCAAAGGACATGTCTTGTATATCTACAATTGAAACAGGTGAGAAAAATGAAATTTCTAGTATGCATTATTTAACAAATGCAAATCTAGTAGCTACTGGACATGACAATGGTGAAATCAGATTATGGAATATAGAAATAGGATCATTTTTAATTATTGATTAAAGTAAAGCTAAATCTAAACATAATAATACTGTTTGTGCATTAACAAGTTGTACATTTGATAGTGAAGAATATATGTTTAGTAGTGGTTATGATGGTAGAATAAATGTTTGGGAGATCTTTGAACGTAAATAACGATTAATGGCTAGTTATATTATGCCTTAATTAAAATAGTCATTATTAGCCAATCCTAAATCTACAGCAGATTCATTAGGCAATGAAATTCTGTGTCTTTTATTTGATAAGACAACAAAAAGAATTATTGCAGCTGGAAATAAATGTACAATTTATTTAATTAATATGTTCACTTATGAACATGATGATTCATTTGTTGGTCATTAAGATAGCATAACTTGTTTGGCTTTAGATGGCAAAATTCTATTTAGTGGTTCTCATGATAAGACTATAAGATTATGGAATTTGAATAATAATTAAGCACTTACTTATTTTTCAGGATTAGATCATCCTATTTAAAAATTATTAGTAATTCCAGAAACTGGATATTTAGTAAGTGTAGGTAATGGATTACTTTTAATTTGGGATTATCCTAATAAGAAAGTTGTTTCTAAATTTACAAAACCTGAAACATTTAAATGTATAGCTTATTTAGATAGAGCCTTATTTATTGGAACAGAAGAAAACAATATTCATAGTTATAATTAAGAGAACAATTTTGAAGATATAGATAATTAATATTAAATGATAGATGTTAATTAAGAGATAGATGACGATTATATGAAAAAAATTATAGAATAAAACTAACAAATATTACAAGAATTTCAATAATAATAATGATTCAGTTACATATTCAACAATTAATTGATTATTAAATTTACTCTTTTTATCTATTTTAAATTGTTTCATAAATTCCATTCTTAATTGTATTTACTGTATAATTAACATTTCCAATCTATTAATCAAAAATCAAATCGTAAATTTATTGATAGTCAGTCACGAAATACAAATTGAGTCCCTTTAACAATTAAGTTGGTAAATTCAAAGCATCTCCTAAATTAGCATAAGGCAATATGACATCTACTATATCTAATGTTTTTGCAGCAATAAGCTTTTATTATAGACCACCTTAAATAATAATAGAATTTACCAATTTTACAGACTTGCCCATTCAAAGAGATTTCTCCAGTCATAGCTAAATTACTAGGGACTGTAAAGTTAGTAACTAAACTTATTAAAGCAGTGGTTATAGCTGTACCTGCTGAAGGTCCATCCTTAGGAGTAGCTCCTTCATTAAAATGCATATGGATTGCTGATTTTGATAATTATAGTTTTTATTCTTCATTTAGATATTTATAAGCATTAATTTTAGCTAACTTTAATGATTCTTATAAAACTAATTTAATATTTCCAGATGCTATAATCTATCCTTTCTTTTCTAATTCACTTTCATCAAAACAACTTTCAACACTTAAAACATGTCCTATCATACCTCCTACTGTTAGAATATTAACTTAACCAGGTGGAAACTTTTTAACTGATCTTTATTCTAATTAAATATCAAATATAGGTGGTCCTAAATATTAAGATATAAGTTCTAAGTTATTATCCTTGGTTAAATCTAAAGTTTAAATTGTAGGATCAAATACAACTTAATTTAATTCATCCACTTTATCACATAGATTAGGATTAGCTGTTAATAAATTAGTTGCATGTTTTCTAGCAATCTTTTCTAAACATCTTTTTAATTCTCTAACTCCACTCTCTTAATAACACCATGCTTTAATTATTTTAATTAAAGTTTCATTATCATATTTAATCATTTATTATTTTATTCCATTACTTTCTATACTTTTATTTACAAGGAAATTAGTAGCAATCTATAACTTTTCTTCTTAAATATATGCTTAAATATCAATTGTTTCTAATCTATTTTTAAGTGGTTCTAACATTTAAAGTGTATCATTTGATGTTAAAATAAATATCACATGTGAAAAATCTACACTAATATCCATATAATGATCAGTAAAGTTATGATTCTCTTCAGGATTCAAAATCTCCAATAATGTATAATATGGATCTGCTCCACCTGATTAATGTTTTGAAACTTTATCCAATTCATCTAAAATAAATACAGGATTCATAGTATTTGATTTTATTAATTCTCTTATAAATACACCTGGCATTGAATCAACATATGTTCTTTTATGTCCTTTAAAGAATGTTGGATCTGCTACACCTGCACAAGATATGAATCTAGAATTTCTTTTTAAAGCCTTGGCAATACTTTTTGCAATTGATGTTTTACCAGTTCCTGGTGGACCATTTAAAAGAAGTATAAAACCTTTAGCTTTTTAACCTGAATTCTTTAATTTATTGACTGAAATCATTTCAATAATTCTTTCCTTTACTTTTTCTAATCCTTCTATTTCTTTATTTAAAATATCTTTTGCATATTAAATATCCCATTAAACAGGCTATAATATTTAGATTTAATTTTTACAGTAAATTTAGAAAAAGGAATACTGAAAACTTCATCAAGATAGGAATTAATCTTATGGAATTCAGAACTTTATTTATCAAGAAGACTAAATCTTTCAATTTCTCTTTTTACTTTTTCTCTTGATGATTCATCTGGAATAAGTGAGAGTTTATCTTAATATTTTTTAACCAAAACCGATTGCTTTTGCTAAATTAATGAATTAAGTACCTTCTCTCCTACTTAAGATTAAGATCCACCAGATCCTCCATAAGATTATGAATTTGGAGTATCTTTCAAATAATTCTATCTAATATATTCAGTTGCTAATTTAGCTAATGTTTATTAATGCAATTTCAATAATGATGAATCTGATTCTTTGAAATGTTTATTTACTAAATCTAATACTCCTGACATATTTTCAAGTTGCTTTCTTAAAATGAATAATCTTTCAATATATGTTTGACTTTCTAATAATTATTAAACAAATTAAGATGTATTTAATTTCAAATTACTAGTTTATAATTTTGAAAGACCAGCAGCAACTTAATAAACTAATTCATCTATTTAAGTAGGTGTTAATTTTTCGCTTGAATCAAGAAGGGATTATTTCACATCTGTAAATGCTTCTATTCTATCTACTTAAGCCAATTTTCTGATTTAAGATACAAGGGAAATTATCTATTTAATTTCATTTTTAACATCAATTTATTATTCTGCTTAAGTAAGAGGTCTATCTTTATAGGGTATTCCTTATGCAAAAATACCATCTGGAGTCATTTCAATTTTGGTTATTTTGAATCTGTAATTTTTCTATCTTATTGCATTAAATAACTTACAGACTTTGAAATTATATCTAAATTAAATGTATTACTCATTGGATCATTGATTAAAATGTTTCCATTTGCATCTCTTTATTCCAATACTTTGAGTTCAGAATTTAAATTTTTTTCAACCTATTTACTTAAAGCAATTCCAATTGTAAAGATTTCACCATTGTCTGGTGATATGATAGTGTAAAGAAGTGGCTTAGTTATACGTTTGAGATTCCCTATCTTTATTTGACAATTCATAGGATTATTCGGAAAGATAGGCTGGACTGAACTAAAAAGACAAAAATCAGTTGAGTTTATTTTAGAGTCAATCTCATCAGGATCACATGAGTAATTTTAAAGAGGGATTGTTTTCAACTTAATGTTAGAGTTGTTGTTAAAACCTAATTAATAATACAATCACAACTTACCATTACTAAATCCATAAACACATTTATGTCGTAAAGGGATTGCACATCTATTTATCCATAATTAAGGACGACGGAAAAGGAATCTACTCAAACTACGCATTTTAGATATTTATATATTTTAAAATTATTTTATTTAAGGTATGTAGAAGTTCTTAACCAACACATACAATTTAATCATTATTTATCAATATCACACTAATTAATATATAGATTTATCAATAAATCAAATCAATCTACGATTATCAATAATACTTTTTATATAATACACCTACCATACACTCACTGAAACTATAATTATGGTTTCAAGAATTGTAAAATAAAATAATCTTTAATGACTTATTTGCATTGATTCATAACCACTTTCTCTTCTCTATTATGAAAATTTGGTTTCAAACATTATATCGTTGACTCCATTTTATAAATGCTGAATCTACTTAACTAATGGATCCAAATCATGATGTTTGATATGTTCATAAGTGGCATTGTGAATATCTAAGGCAAATGTTACTATCTGATCACTGCTGCCTCTTTCATTATCAAACAAAAATTAATAATCTCCAGGCTCTGTAATATTAACTGAAAAGACAGCCTCCTTCTTAGCTGCCTTACTATTTATGATGTTACCTTTTGGATCTTTAATCTATAATACAATTATTATTGATTCTTACTAAAAAATTTATTTTCTCTTTGGTTGCCATACTGATAAAATAAGCTCCACGTATTGTTGTTGGATGATGAATTCCTTCCTCCAATAATTCAATAGTGCCTTGTTTTAATTCAAATGCTATCATATCATCTGGAATAAAGTCTTGCATCATCAATTCCCATTCTTACATAAGATCTTTTCTGTCTTGTCTATCATCAATCACATCATTCATAATGTTATCATCTTAACCCTATATTAAGCCAAATAATAAGTAAATTATAGAGATCATATAAATAAATTATAAAATAACTATATATTTCTTAAATATTATATCGATGATGTCATTTTAATTCTAAATTTATCAACTTTTATTAAATAATCTAAAGATATCATCTTTTGGTTAAGGATTTTCATTTCTTACTGATAAGATAGAGGCTAAGGGTGATTCATTTTTTTTTATCATGACCAGAAATCTAAAATTCATTACCCAATTAGCTACAATCGCATATTTTCTGAATTCCAAAGTGTTTCTCCATTAGTAATTCAATTCTAGATATCTCATAAATTATATTTATCAACCGTATTTTTTTAAATGCTAAATTAAGATGATCTTCATATTATTTTATAAAGAGGTCATTTTGATTGTCTTCATTGCTCTANTAATTAATATATAGATTTATCAATAAATCAAATCAATCTACGATTATCAATAATACTTTTTATATAATACACCTACCATACACTCACTGAAACTATAATTATGGTTTCAAGAATTGTAAAATAAAATAATCTTTAATGACTTATTTGCATTGATTCATAACCACTTTCTCTTCTCTATTATGAAAATTTGGTTTCAAACATTATATCGTTGACTCCATTTTATAAATGCTGAATCTACTTAACTAATGGATCCAAATCATGATGTTTGATATGTTCATAAGTGGCATTGTGAATATCTAAGGCAAATGTTACTATCTGATCACTGCTGCCTCTTTCATTATCAAACAAAAATTAATAATCTCCAGGCTCTGTAATATTAACTGAAAAGACAGCCTCCTTCTTAGCTGCCTTACTATTTATGATGTTACCTTTTGGATCTTTAATCTATAATACAATTATTATTGATTCTTACTAAAAAATTTATTTTCTCTTTGGTTGCCATACTGATAAAATAAGCTCCACGTATTGTTGTTGGATGATGAATTCCTTCCTCCAATAATTCAATAGTGCCTTGTTTTAATTCAAATGCTATCATATCATCTGGAATAAAGTCTTGCATCATCAATTCCCATTCTTACATAAGATCTTTTCTGTCTTGTCTATCATCAATCACATCATTCATAATGTTATCATCTTAACCCTATATTAAGCCAAATAATAAGTAAATTATAGAGATCATATAAATAAATTATAAAATAACTATATATTTCTTAAATATTATATCGATGATGTCATTTTAATTCTAAATTTATCAACTTTTATTAAATAATCTAAAGATATCATCTTTTGGTTAAGGATTTTCATTTCTTACTGATAAGATAGAGGCTAAGGGTGATTCATTTTTTTTTATCATGACCAGAAATCTAAAATTCATTACCCAATTAGCTACAATCGCATATTTTCTGAATTCCAAAGTGTTTCTCCATTAGTAATTCAATTCTAGATATCTCATAAATTATATTTATCAACCGTATTTTTTTAAATGCTAAATTAAGATGATCTTCATATTATTTTATAAAGAGGTCATTTTGATTGTCTTCATTGCTCTAATTTGTGGAAGTTATCTTACCAAAAATATTTCTTGTTACTTTTAGATTTTTCAATTTTGGGTAGTACATTTGAAGAATTTCGGTTTGCATTTCTTCTTTAAACTATTGATTATTTATGAAGATTGCCAAATACTTCAACAAAAATATTACTTAGACGATTGAACCTCTGTAAACAAAAACAGCACTTAGTTTTGGCTTAATAATCCTTTCTGAAATTTTTAAACTATCGATGTTTATTTAATATGCGAAAATAGTATTAAACTAAAATTTCTAAGTAGATATTGACGATGCTAAATTTTATATATACTCGTTATCAATCGATTGATTGATTATATAGAAATCATTAATTAATTTATGAGCAACCAAATTTCCAAACAACAGTCCATCATCAAGATCAATCTCTTTTTATTGAATTGTAATTTAAGTATATTGAATATGGATTGGAGAAAACCCTTGATAAGATTACTTTGTTATATATTCTATTTAATCTTGTCTATAGTTATATTACTCCAACTACATAATAATTGATAAAAATCCATGATACCCTGACATATATTAATCAATCTCTTCTTGACTAGCACAATTACTATCATCATCTAAATATTGTTCTAAACATTCAGTAAATATTAACATATAATTTTTTATGGCTTGTATGTTTGCCCATCCATTTAATTATTCAAATTATTTACTACTAATGTTCCTTCCTCTAATCCCACTATGAATGGTTTATTTTCATCACTAAATAATGGTTTAGGAGCATCAACAATTCTAAAATTCTCGACAACAAATAATAAAGGAGTAATTATATTATTTTTTCGTTTAAAAGGATCATGATTTGTTTGATCATTTAGTTTGAACTAAATAAAGTTATCTTTCAACATTTATTCAGAATAGGCCTATGCTTGTTAATTAATTGTTATAGTTGGAGGAATGTTACCACTGACCCATTCTGAGATTACATAAGCAAAGTAAGCGATACTGAGAACTGAAGCTAAAATAGAGATAAGTCCACTGTATGAACTTGAATATTAAGATTTAGCATCGTTTGTTAAAACTGGAACTGGTATGCTAAATAAATCGATCTATTTTAAAAGATTTCTTAATTATTTAGGTAAGGATGTTATTAATTTTTCTTAATTTAATTAATATTTACAAATAATAAAATAAATAAACAATCAATTATATGTTCCTGGCATAAATGATTTTCTAATATTTATTTATTTCTTCATTTAAGATTCTTTAAATCCTTAAAATACTTTGTAATTTGAATAATTGAATTTTTTCTAGTAATATTTGAAATTTTGTGGTTCATCAAAATAATCTAATCCCTAATGAATTTGATATTATTGTTAATCTCTATATTAATTAAGTTTAGTCTATAATGATGAGAGATTACTTTAATTACTATCCTTTTATTCTGTCTATTAATTTTATTCATTTTCATCTTATTAATTTAATTTAAAAGAATCATCCTATATAAATTCAGATTTATTAAATTCTGATTTTGATTCAGATTCTTATCTAAATGTTTATACACTTTGTTGGATACTTGTCTACTTTTTCAGAGGAGATTGTTTTTACATATTAATATTTTTAACAGTTTTCAACTATTTAATTAAAATTATAAAAGTACCATAACATTAGCATATTTCTAAATTTTTGATTTATTCAAACCATTAACTAATATCTTTTAATTTGTTCTGGTTGGCCAATGTTTTCTATTATATCGTTATATTTTAATTCTATTTTAATTTGAATCCAAAACAGTAGTATTTTCAATCAAATTCTAAACTTAAGGAATATAATGAGTAAAAGGACATGAACATGCATAATGATCAAATTTATGACATGTCCAACAAAATTAACCAAGAGATTGAAAATGAGATGAAAAAATCAATCCATCTCTCAGATTACAAAATATTTCATAATCATCAGGATAATGTTTTAAGACATCCAAAAAATCACTTCTAGATATTTTATGTAATTAACTATATTCTTAAGAATATACTGTGGCTGTTCTTGCTTATCCTTTTAAATTAAATTATAAATTCAATACCTGTCATAAAGGCAAATTCACCAAAACTGTCACCCTATATTAATCTCTTTTTCACAATTTCTGAATTACCACATTTTATAATTACAGTTCCACTTTATATAAAATAAAAGGCTTAATCATCATTAGAATCACCTGCTTCAATTATTACATTTCCTGTTGAATAATTAACTTCTGTTATTTTTTCTGAGAGATCCTTTAAGAATGCCTTTGAAAAATATTTTGAGAAAAATGTTGTTTACAAAAATTGTCCATAAGACTAATACATTAATTCTTATTTTAATTCAGGAGGCAACATTTAAAAAACCAATATCTCTTGCTCTTAATCTCTCAATCCTTATTAATGCCAATATTCATTGAGATATTACCTTATTATTTCCTGTAAATCAGAAGGTACTTATTTTTATTCCATAAATTTATTGATGCTTACCTTATACTTAAATTACTTAAGATCATTTAAATTATATTCTTCCATCATCTTTTAAAATGAGTTAATATTATTTGCAAAGATAATGAGTCCAAACATTACTCCTAAAAGAGACCAAGAACACTCTATAATATTCATAGGAGACTAATTATTAAAATAACATATTTACTATATCTCCATAGCCCATTGTAGTTGAAACAGTTCCTAAAGAAAAGTAGAATCCAAAAAAATATATTTCATGCAAAGGTCGATCCAAAATAATTCCAAAATTACCTTAATTTGTTAACCATGAATTATAATTAGATGCTACACTATGTAATCCAATCATATAAAACACACACAAAAATACATTGAATGCATAAAACATAAAAATAACTCGTTTTCCTACTTCATAAAATACTCTCGTTCTTCTATAAAGTAATACCATTTCATTTAATTGATTATCAAATCTTAAAAATGAAGGTAATTTAAAATAAAACATTAAAAAGATAAATCTAAATTTAGGTGTGAATAAAGATAATCTAGCAATTGAAATTATTAGCTAGTTCTATATAATAAAGGTTTACTGCTGTAAGATCAAAAAAGAAATTGCCATATAAATAATTTATTGCTATTTTTCTACTATCTGTAATCACAACTCCATGTTTATAATAAGCAGTTATAAAATCTAAACCCATATCTATTACAAGCAAAAGAGATATTGTATAATACAATGCTGCAACTTAATATTCTGTCTCTAATTCCTTAAAATAAATATGGTGATACCTTCCAGAAACCTTCTCCAAATGCTATATAAACAGGGATTTCAAAAAAAACAAATAAAGTTAATAAATTGATTAATAATTTCCATAAAATTATTTGTTTTGGTCTCAAAATTGGTAATTAATATAAAATATCTATAATAAATCATTTTTATATACTTAATTTCTTTTATATGCCTTCCAAACTGTCACTATATAGTTAATGAATCTTCTCTAAAATGTATTATTATGATTATTATTATTCTTTCTCTGCTCTTTCTTCCATAGCCAATTTTGCTTTATTCTAGAATTATTTTCCATTTAACATGATTTCTGAGATTTCTAAATGATACTCTTCTTAATTATATATAGATAAATCATTTAATAAAGATTCTTAAATTGAATCTCGATGTTATAACTCAACATGCTATCCTAATGATGACATAAAATAATTAATTGGTTTATCAATTATTAAAAAAATATAATCATAATAACCTAATTGAACTTTATAATCAATATAATCTCATTCTATATATTAATGATTGAACAACTTAACTGTTAACCCTGATTAAATAATATTAAATATGAGTTAAGATATAATATCAATACTTAAATATAATTCATATAATGCTTTTATTAATTGATATAATAATTAACATAATCAATTTAGCACTATTTATTATATTTCATAAATTATTCAAAGCAATACCTGTATTTTTAAAAATAATAAATTTGATCATTGAGTTCAATAATTTAAGATATAAATTATTGAATTATATAATCATATATTTATATAAGAAAATAATCATGCAATTTATATAATTTTTAATTAAAAAAAAAAGAAAAAAGCGCTAATGGAAGGGCTTGAACCTTCGACCTGTTGGTTAACAGCCAACCGCTCTGCCGACTGAGCTACATCAGCGTATTCGAGATATTAGGTATGGATTGAGATTAATATTGAAGGAGGGAAAAGTATTAATCACAATTATTATTTATGGCATTTTATAAATTATGTACATATAATTTTTAATTATTATACTTAAAATATACTCAATAATTATTATTTTTTTAATTAAAATAATTTATCTAATAAATGTAGAAAATAGATTAATATATTCAGATATTCTTTAATGCATGCTCTAAATCTTTGATTAAATCACTAACATGTTCTAAACCTGCTGAAAGCCTTATAAGATTTTAAGTAATTCCAAGTTCCTGTCTTCTAGACTCAGTTAAACCTGAATGAGTCATTTTTGCTGGAATTTATATTAAACCTAAAATAGAAAAGATATTATACTTTCTACTCCTCCCAAACTAACAGCCATAGTGAATAATTCAAGTCCCTTCATCATTCTTTCGGCTTCAGCAGCTCCACCTTTTATATAAAAACTAATCATTGCTCCTCCAGCTCTCATTTATTTTCTTGCCAAATTATATTAAGGATGACTCTCTATTCCTGGGTAGAGTACTTTTTCAACTTTTGGATGACTTTCAAGGTACTTAGCTAAAATATAAGCGTTCTTAATTTATTATTTCATTCTGACTTCAAGAGTCTTTAAACTTCTTGTTATTAAGTAGCAATCAAATGGACTTGGGCATCCTCCAGTTAGATAGGAGATCTTAAATAAATCATCATATAACTCTTTGTTTCTACAACTCAGAGTACCAAATAAGATATCTGAGTGCCCTCCTAAGTATTTTGTGCCTGAGTTTAATGTAATATCAGCCCCTAAGATTGATGGTGTTTATAGGTAGGGTGTTGCAAAAGTATTATCTACTGCAACAATTACATTATTTTTAATTTATCTCACAATCTAACAAAGTTCTTTAATATCAGTTAATTTCATGGTTGGATTAGTTGGAGTCTCCAAATAAACAAGTTTGACATTTTCATTCATTTATTTTTAGACTTCATCAATATTTGTCATATCTACAAATTTAACTTTTATGCCATGCTTTTCCATTGCAATTGCTCTTAAATAACTAACTGTTCCACCATAAAGATCATCCATTGCAAGCATCTCCTCTCCTTCTTTTAATAAGTTAATCACACATTAAATAGCAGCCATTCCTGAACTAAATGCAATTGCATAGTTGTTTTGCTCTATTTCTGCTACTATTTCTTCAACTACTGTTCTTGTAGGATTGCCACATCTAGTGTAAAAGTAACCTTTCCCAAATGAGTCTACATCTTTCAATTCAAATGTTGAACTCATGTAAATTGGAGGATTCACAGCTCCATATGTTTTATCACATGTTTTATGTATGGTTTTTGTAGCAATAGTGAATTCACTATCAAATAAATAATCTTCCTCTTAAACTAACATATCTGTATTATTATTTAAATCTTTTTTGACAATTGGATTTTAATAATTGGAGGTAATGCGTACTAATTCAATGATGCGTCACGCTTCATAAATTTTATCTATTAAGAAAATTAAGAAAGTATAAAATTTGTGATTTCAATATTAAATTTTAATATTTTTATAGAATTTACTATTTATCACTTAAGTATGCTTATTTTTATTGTAAAATTTGATTCATCAAACCTAAATAATATTCTTATAAAATAATTATTATTATAAAATCAAAATATTCGTTAATAATAGCTTTAACTTATAATATATATATGAATTCTCTTTTTCTTAATTTTTATAATTGTTATAATCAAGTATATTAGGGTAATTAATAGAAAATAGCCTTTATTAATAGTATACCTAACTATTAATACCTATGTTCAATTTCATATGTATTAAATTCAAAAAATACTTGTAATATAGGTTTAGAATATCATTTAGTAAAACTAATAATTATAAAGACTTTTATGTTTTTGTTTAGATCAAGTTAGTTCATAATTTTAATTTTTAGGATTATAATAAACTTTAAGTATAAGTGATTCACTCATACAATACATTATTCTCATAATAAATATATAAATTGTTTAAATTTGATTTTAAAATATTTTTCCTTCAAACTCTCAAATTCTACTAGATCAGGTCATAATTTTCTTTAAAACTTTAGATTATATATAATATAATAATTAGTTGTTGTGATAAGATACATATTAATAATATTAGAATTGCGAATTACTTAATTACGTAATTCAAATTTTATGGGGGTGGCTTATAAGAATATTTGGCAAATTTAAATCCTAGATATTTTATCGAATAATATTATCAATGAAATCAGTCCTTATTGCTCTTCTTGCTATTGCTGTAATCGCCGACGAAGCTTGCGTTAAAGAAAAATGCCCTAAAGAATATAATGCTTGTGTTGCTGAAGTCTTTGGCTGTGCTTCAAAAGCTTTGAACTGCAAAAACAAATGTGGAGAAACAGACCCATGCTATCGTGACTGTGCTTATGAATCAAAAAATAAGAAATTGATTGACTTGTACTATTTAATATAGAAATTTTTAGATATGAATGCGGAAAAAAATACTGCCCAAATGCTGCATATTGGAATCTCATTCTTTCAGGATGTAATGTTGAATAATGTGTTGCTGATTTCTAAACTGAATGCTTATAATCAGTTAACCTTAGATCAGTAGAATGCTTGATGGGCTTTTCATAAAGACATCCAGAATGCGATTGCTTAAATGAATGATGCTATAACACAGTTTAATATTCATATATATCAAACATAAAAAGTTTGTTCTAATACTCTAAGACACAATTCATATATATAACCAATTAGGTTAATAATATATATAAATTTAATGTCTGAATTAGAAGAGTTCTAGTAAGATTTAGCAGAAATCTAATAAGTACTTTCAACTCTCAAACGTAAATCTAATATTGATTACTTGAATACTCGAATCAAATATTTAGAAAACTCTATTAAAATACTAACTCCATAAAAAGTTGAATAACCATAATAAAAACCATAATAAAAGGATTAGGAGACTCTATAATACTAAGGAATTACAAAGTATGCTTGGGATTAAGAAGGGAATAAAGTCAAAGTGTTTTTGAATTTGGAGGGAATTGGCTAATTGCCTAAAGAAGATATTACTTCATCATTTACTTCAAATAGTGTTGATGTCAAAATTAAAGGTTATAAAGGTGTTAACTAGAGGTAAAGTTTATTAAATAATTTAAGATTTTCTATTAGGAAAACATTTGATGAATTAAAAGATAAGGAATGTTCTATCAAAGTAACTAATAATTCAGTTGTCATCAATTTAATTAAGAAGGAACAAAAGCATTGGGATTAATTAAACTTTAAGGATAAATTAGTAAATAATTAATGAATATAAAGATTGATACAGACCCATCTAAATTAGATAAATAAGATCCATAAGCATCTTTAATGAATATGATGAAAGAAATGTATTAAAATGGTGATGATGATATGAAACGAACTATAGCATAAGCTTGGTCTAAATCATAGGAGGAAAAAGGTTTCAAATGAGTATTAGTATAAATAATTATATTTGTTAATTATTTCTATTTAATTGATTAGAGTTGAATAAAGATAATGTTAAAGAGTATTTATCAAGATATAATCTTAATAGAAACAACAATTGACAAATCATTTACTAGCTTCAATTAAATCTTAATCTAATTATGTTTCATTGATTTCCTAGTCTACAACAAAACCTTCATCTAATAAATTATCAAAATCCTTATCACTTAATAATTCTAAATATTTCATTAAATTAACTACCATGTTATTGAACCTTGGGTTTAGCATTATTCGTTTATGCATTTTTTAAATCATTCAATTATTTCTATAACTACTTATCTCTTTGATTAATCTCATTGAACTTCTTAATTGCTTCTTTTAAATCTTATTCTTATTGCTCTACTTATTTTATAAAATCTTCATCAATTTCTTCAATTAATTATTCATTCTCTTGCAACTAATTAATTTTAAACTATTATCTACCTAGATATATTGTGATTATTGCTTTTCAACTTCTTTTTGTCCCACTCCTTAACCAATTTTAAAGCAAATAATAGAAATTACAATTAGTAATGCCAAGTGTAATATTTCCATTAATTACAATAAATTAATAATAATTCATAAATATTCTTATTTCACATCCCTTTTCTTATAATCAAATACAATATTTCAATCAGTTCACTTTTATTTAGTCTAATTCCTAATCAATTATTATCTAAGAAAACATTAAAAGTTTAAGGCTAAGTAGAGTTTAATTTTTATTTTTTTATCTATTAATATCTCTTTGATCATTTCAGGATATTATAAGGTAAAAATTGAATGATTTAATCCTATATCTCGATCAAAATTGCCATATCCTGAAAATCATGGCATTATTGGTTATTTTATAAATAAACTATTAGAAGAGGAGTTAAAAATAAAAGAAAATTTGTTATTATGATAACTTAGTTGATAGGTCCAAATATTTTTTTTAATTTTATAAATCTTAAACTGATTTAATTTATATGTGATTTGAGGAAAAACTCTTATTTATATTATAGTAGTCTAGCTATTTATAATAAAATTTCTCTAATCTTTGCTAAATATAGCAAAATAAAAGTACATATTTTAAGCTACTTTTGATTAGTAAAATTTAATTAGAGATCTTTATGAAATATCCATCATATTTTCAAAAAAACATTTTCAAAATTGTTTTTGTTTTTTAAATCTATATAACTAATCGAGGTTTTTTATTGGATTTGGATGTTTTTAATTGCATATTACATTATATTTATATTTATGATATATTATAATAATCACATATTTAGAAAATCGATTAGATCCTTTTTATTATTTTAGGATTATTATTGATTGTTAAATTGTGTTTGGGGTTGTAAATACATCTATTAATTTTAATTGCTTTGAGATTGATTATAAATAAATTACGCTTACTATTGTGGAACTTAATTATTGATTTAAGGTTATTGATAAAATTATGGTGGAGAATTAAGTAAATTAATTGGCTGTTGAATTTATTAATTATTTTAGATTGTTGTTTATTATTAATCTTTTTTTAAGAATCCAAAGGCATTTTTTTTTGGTTAAGTTTACTATTGATTTGTTGTCTATGAATTTAGTAAATCATCAAAACTTATTCCATTCTAAATCTATTATTATTATTATTATTATTGTTATTATTATTATTATTATTATTATTATTATTATTATTATTATTATTATTATTATTATTATTATTATTATTATTATTATTATTGTTATTATTAGTATTAATATTGATTCTATTATTATTACTAGATTTAAGGTTATTGCTAATATTAATATGATAATTATTATGTTTGTTAGAATTATTATTAATTATAATTTTCTAAAGATATATCACTAAATGCTTCTAACAAATTAATTTATTATGTATTTTTCTATTGTACTTGTTATTATTACTATACTAGAGGCTATTATTATACTGTAGGTTATTATTATATTTAAGCAGTTGGTTATTTGATTTTTAGTTATTTTAAATTAAGTTTTTATTGCTGTTACTTTTATTATTATGAATCAGTAGAAGTAACATCTAAAATATCTATTAAATTTGGCTGTTAGCTTTAGAGAGGTTATTATATTTTAGGTGGTTCTCTAAATTCAAATTCAAATTCCTTTTTATTTAATAATTATTAATTACTTTTTGCTTTGAAACTTTTTAACCATTAACTTCTGCTAATGTCTAATCAATAGCTCCTGAGAGTAATTATTAATCCGTGTCTACCTTCAGATATTATTAATTGATTTAAAAGAATTCTCTATAATTTTAAAACTATTGACATATATATTGAATAGCATATATACATCTCTAATAATTTAATGAAAATCTTACAATCTAAACTTTCCAGTTATCCTCGCTATGCAATTTATTTAAAAGTATGCTTCCTATAAGTTAATCTTAAATAGTTGCTATGGATCTTGAGAAATCTTTTAGAACGTTGTCACTTTGCTTTAACTTTATTCCACCTAATTTAATGACTTCATCTACAAGATGAAATTCATAATCACTAAGTATTAAAACTTTTTATACAATCCTCCTAATTCTAATTCTTCATAAGTTAACAGCTAGCCTTTTCTGTAGTCTGTAATTCTACTCAATTAAACACTCCCTATAACAGGTTAAGGAGGCAGAAGAACTTCATGATTACTTTTTTAGTCATTATTTTATTTTGGTGGAGTATTGTTCAATAAATTAATTGAGTTGGTTGCTTTATTAGTTGAAATACTAGTTTGTTCTGGTTAAGTCTATGGTTCATCATCCCAACCTTATTATAATTCATTTATTCTTACCTCCACCTGGTCTACCTTTTTATCTTGGTTAATTAGATTAGGTTAATTAAACAGCAGGGATTATTGGTGGTTAATAAGTTCCTGCTTATTGGCCAAAAGATGTATTTTCGAATTTAATTCCATTAGGAGTATCATTAGTTGTCTGCTTCTTAAATTTATTCAAAATAGATGACATGTTAAACTTTAATTATCTAAATTAATTATTATCAAAAACAAAAATTATAAATAAATAAATGATTTCATGTTCTAATCATTTACTTTTAATTATATATGATAAGGTTAATGATTAAATAAATACTATATATTTGAGCACTCTTAAAAAAGATCATTTTTTTGCCTTCTTCTTTTTTGAACCTTTTTATCCTTTTATAGCTTATTAACTTTTTAGTTCATCTTCCTTCTATTTAGCTTCAAGAGCTTTTTCTTTTTCAAATTCTAGTCTGGTTTCTCTTTATCTCTTTTGTAATTCTTCTAAATTATCAGACTTATAATAAGAATAATTATTTACAATATTATCATTAAATGCTTCATCATCAATTGAGAAATCATCTTCTTTAGATTCTAAAATTTAATCTTCTTCAGTTTTTCCTTTTAATTATTCTTTTTTTGCTAAATGCAATAACTTAAATTAAGCCAATATTTTTTTCTTTAATATTTCAGCAGTTTCATCTTTTAAGGAAGAATCACTTACTCTATTTTCTAAATCATCATGATTTAATCTAGCTACATGAGATTTTAAGTTTTATCTAATTTTAATAATAAATGTTACACTTTGATAAGATTATGAATGATGTCATCATTAACTTATCCTGCTTAAGTAAGTCTTCTTTAATCAACAGGAATTTTGAAATATATATCAATATCATTCATTTATAATTTATTTGCATCTACAAATAACTCTTTATCTCGAAGTAAAACAGCATGTTCTTAAAACAATTATTTACCAGTTTTAGCAAATGATTAATATTCTAATTCTAATTTCATTCCTCTTAAATTTTCTACTAATTTTTATGCTTAAGTGCTTAATTTGTCTATTTTTTCATCAATTATTTTTTAAGCTTCTTCACTTTAATCTTCATGTTTAAGCTTAACTAATGTATATTCATCTATTTTTCTATATAACCACTTAATTTGTAATCTAGCTAATCTCTCCTCTGGTGTCTCAAATAATGAATATGTATTTTAAGCTTTAATGTTTGCATCTTGTAATACTTTTTTAATAGCAAATTCTGCATCTTCATTGACTTAAGTTCTATTTTATTTTTATTCTTTAAGTCTTTCCTCAAGCTCTTATTACAATGTATCTAAATGTTCATGATGTGAGTATTCAAAATCAATATCATCATATAGTTTTGTTATATAAAATAGTCCTTTCTCCAATTAATATCTAAGATTCTCTGGAACATCATCAGGTATCTAGAATTCAGCATCATCATCCAAAGTAACATTATAATGTTACAATACTTTTAAATATTTCCTTAATCTATTTTTTATTTTAGATGGTGATTATCTAATATTTTAGAGAATCTATTTATCACTAAGACCATTCAATTTATCTTATGTTGCAACTCTGTTGTAATAACAATCAAAAACATTTGTTGCTCTCTCTGTAAATGTTTCTTCATCTTATTTGTGTGTTGTCTCTTCTGGCTTATCATCATGATGAACAACTTTTATAAGAGATTTCTTATAATTATCCATTAAAGCTTAAGTTTCAGGATCCAAAGGTGAATTTTTTTCAAACTCTTATATTTTTAAATCTCTTAATAATCTATCTCTTTTTAATCTTTATTCAAACTCTATTTCTTATTAGGCTAATGTCATAAATGATCTTGCTTAATTTGTTATTGCTAAATTATTTGCTATTTTAGTTTAATCTATTTTTCTTTACATTTTTGCCTAAAATGTCATCTCTGCTTTTTCAAAAGCCTAATAATTAAAATATTTAATATACTTTATCAAAATGATATCCCTTTTTTCTTAAAGTATTAAATAGCTTCAAAAAGCGAAATAATGATCCCTCATTTTAATTTTCACAAAGTCCTTCCTTTACTAATGGAGCATATTTAAGATCAGGATATCTATGCATTAATTTGTTAAGCACTTTTTGATTCTCAGTATCATTTACTTCCTCTCTTAATGGATATCCAAGATTTGTTTCAGGTGGTCTAACTGCATAAACAAGTGGATTATGTTATCTAGGATTAAGCATTTTAAGCCTACGGAACATTTCAAATCCATCATAAAAGGGAAGTTTTGAATATTACCTTAAATACATTAATTTATTTTTAATAAATAATTTTATAAAAGGAGATGATTCTAAAATGAATTGAATTTTTTAATCATAATTATTATCATAAAATTTGAAGAACTTTGTTTCTCTTACCTCTCAATTCATACTTTTTAGATATATTGAATTTCCTCTTTGTCAAATATTTTAAGCTTTCTAATGGAGTATTGCCAATTTATCTCATATTCTTACTCATATTATCCTAAATTTTCTAAATTTCAGAATCAGATGGATATATTTTAGAAAATTACTCTTGAGCATCATCAAGCTTAATCAATAAAATTCTATACTTAAGTTAAAAATTCTCCAATTTAATTTTTTATATTCAAACTAACAGTTTGACGACTAGTATTATTTTGATGATCAGTATGTCTCTATTAATTTTATGGACTTTTAAAATAATGAAGATTTTCAAATTTCTTTTCATCTCTTAAAGATACAAATGAACCAGGTTTAATATCAGGAAGAGTTGCATGGTTCAATTAATTTAATGGGACAACCTTTCTTACAAGAGGATTAATTAGTTTACCATTTACTAGTGGAAATTTTAAATCGTTGCTTTCACTTCTACTTTTTACTAATAAATGCTTTTGACTTCTAATTTCAAATGAACTAGGATGTTACTGTTGAAGTTCTTTCAACTATTGTTATTATTACTTTAAGATTTTTGGATTTGGAGGTTAAGGTATCTTATTTTTGTATAACATTTTAGTTGTTCTTTCTAAAAGCTATAAAACCTTTTATGATTATTCTTTAAATTTTTTTCCAGCTTTTATTGCAATTTCGTCTTTCCCAAAATCTAATGGAACTGCTGACTAAATAATTTTATCAGAATTCATAGAGTTTCTATTCCTCTTTCTCTCTTTTTCATATTTTCTGTCCATCTCAGACAAAACATTCTTGTGATTAATATCAGTTATTAATTTATCAATACCAGTATAGAATTTCTCATTTGTTGACCTTCCTTCTTCTATAGCCTTAGATCTTTAGCTAATCTCATTATCTATTTATAAATAACCTTCTATATTAGGTTTAGTTCTAAAATGTTCAGAATTTGCAATAAATTTCTTACTTTTTTAAACAATTTCTGCATAATCATATATATCTTCATCATCACTATCTTATTATGATTTTTTTAAGGATTGGAATAAATTTTTGTGACTTTTTTTTACTTATGAATCATTAAGATTTTTAAGAAACTACTTAACATCAATAAAAGTGTTCATAGATGTAAAATCTTTCATTTTGTTTTCAAAATGTTGCTCTTTTGAAATTTTACTTATCTTCATCTTTTTTCTTTCATTTAATAAGACTTTTTGGATGTTCTCACTCTACAACCTATTTCCTAAATAAAATGATAATTTCTTACTTCTAATAACTTCTTCATCATTTTCTGAATCATCAAAGGCTAGTTGTTTAATCCCTCTCTTCTTATCTAATTGAGCTTTAACAAATTTATAAAAATCTTACTCAAAATCCAACATATTTAATAATGTCCTATTTTCAACAAATAAGAACAATTTCTAAATATTTAACACTAATCCTATTCATTATTATCACAGTTTTATTTGAAATCTAATAAACAATAAAATTATAGCCTCAATAAAAGATTTTTATCATAATTTACAGTTAAAACTATATAGGCTAATCCAAATTATACATTTTCTTCCTATTTTTAGACTAATTTTATATATATATATATATATACATTACAAAATATTTTTGGAAGAAAAAGAAAAGATGTAGATTTTATATATTAATTAACAATTAAAACTTGAAAGCATTAATAGTATGATATAGNATTGCAATTTCGTCTTTCCCAAAATCTAATGGAACTGCTGACTAAATAATTTTATCAGAATTCATAGAGTTTCTATTCCTCTTTCTCTCTTTTTCATATTTTCTGTCCATCTCAGACAAAACATTCTTGTGATTAATATCAGTTATTAATTTATCAATACCAGTATAGAATTTCTCATTTGTTGACCTTCCTTCTTCTATAGCCTTAGATCTTTAGCTAATCTCATTATCTATTTATAAATAACCTTCTATATTAGGTTTAGTTCTAAAATGTTCAGAATTTGCAATAAATTTCTTACTTTTTTAAACAATTTCTGCATAATCATATATATCTTCATCATCACTATCTTATTATGATTTTTTTAAGGATTGGAATAAATTTTTGTGACTTTTTTTTACTTATGAATCATTAAGATTTTTAAGAAACTACTTAACATCAATAAAAGTGTTCATAGATGTAAAATCTTTCATTTTGTTTTCAAAATGTTGCTCTTTTGAAATTTTACTTATCTTCATCTTTTTTCTTTCATTTAATAAGACTTTTTGGATGTTCTCACTCTACAACCTATTTCCTAAATAAAATGATAATTTCTTACTTCTAATAACTTCTTCATCATTTTCTGAATCATCAAAGGCTAGTTGTTTAATCCCTCTCTTCTTATCTAATTGAGCTTTAACAAATTTATAAAAATCTTACTCAAAATCCAACATATTTAATAATGTCCTATTTTCAACAAATAAGAACAATTTCTAAATATTTAACACTAATCCTATTCATTATTATCACAGTTTTATTTGAAATCTAATAAACAATAAAATTATAGCCTCAATAAAAGATTTTTATCATAATTTACAGTTAAAACTATATAGGCTAATCCAAATTATACATTTTCTTCCTATTTTTAGACTAATTTTATATATATATATATATATACATTACAAAATATTTTTGGAAGAAAAAGAAAAGATGTAGATTTTATATATTAATTAACAATTAAAACTTGAAAGCATTAATAGTATGATATAGTTTATAAATAATACATTTCATTCAATTTTTATCATATATGATGTTTAAATATAAATTTTCTTTATTCTCAAATGTATAGAAATCACAATAAGTTATTTATTAATCTAGTATATGAGTGATTATATAAAATAAAAAAAATAATAATTTGAAAAAAGAGATCAATGTTTTTAGATTAATCCAAACTTCCAAGCACCACTGAAAGTTTCTCCTTTTTAATTTTAAAATGTTCCATTTCCATGTTATTATCCCTCTTTCCATTCACCATTGTATTTTCTACCATCATTCCAAATCAATATACCAATTCCATTTTTTAACCCATCTTTGTATTGACCTTCATATGAGTATTTTCCTTTTATTTCCAAATAACCAAAACCATGCTTTTTCCCTTTAAACCATTCTCCATTATAAACCTTTTAACCGTAATCCCAAACCTTATAATTATTAAAATTTGAATACAAATTTTCCTTAACCATGAAACTTGTCTTAATAAAATTGTCCTTCATAGTAAGACCCATCATTAAAATAGAATTTTCCATACCCATCCTTTAAACCTTTTTTGAAAGTACCGGTGTAAATTGATTTATCTGCATAAGTTTCAGTCCCTTCACCATGTTGTAAATTATTTTCCCATCTTCCTAGTTTTGTATAATAAGTTATTTTACCTTCATATGTGATGTTTTTAGTTGAATTAAAATAGATTCCTTAACCATTCATATAACTATTTTTCCATTCTCCTCTATAATATGTACCATCAGGTGCACTGTAAAGTCCTTCTCCATTCAAATACCCATCCAACCACTTATTTTAAATATAATTCTATACCGTGCCTTCCAAGTAACAACTATGATTATTTTATTCTAATACCCGTCCTCCATCACCATTCTACCAAACCCAGTCTTTGATCCATTATGCCACTTGTAGCTATTCTTTATTTTTGGTGACATTGAAATAGCTACATGCTCTTCTTATTACTAAGCAACAGTAGATCTTTCTGTAATTGTTTGTTAAACCTATTCATAACAAATTAAGTCTTCAGTCAAAGAATTTTATTATTGTTAGTTATTATTTTCCTTTTATTTGTGAATTATAACTCTCTTTCTTGTTAAGATTCCTCTAAATCTTGCCTGAATTAAAGACACTTATCTAAGTGTTAGTTCTTTTTTGTATATTTCTGGTTTCAATTGTTCTTTAATCTCTTTTGCCTATAATCCATTACAAATTTGACAAGACCCCATTTAAGTAAATAATTAATTTTAATACTGATTTAATGAATAAAAATATAAAAAAATGACTTTTATAGATATTTCTCTAAATTACCTTCTATTTTCGATTCAAAATATTTTGAATTTTCACAATTACAAATTTATATCTCCATTCTAATGGACAATATACTTTATTAAATTTATTTTTTGCAAAAACTTATCACTATAAGATATAGGATTTATTCAGATTCCTAGAAATTCTCAAAAATTGAAATTTCCGACTCTTAATTCAGTCTAACTTAAATCAAAGTTTCAATTTTTTTGAGTTAGTATATAAATAATTAAAAAAATAAAAATGCTTAAAAAGATTTTACTATAAATATTTTTGAATTATTTATGTTCCTTAAAAAATCATACAAAAATTCCTTCTTTCATAAAGTTAATAATTATATAATTATTTATGAATTTAATATTAAATTTGTACCTAAAAAGCGCTTACTTAATTATAATTATTGATATTAATTTAAAAAATATTTATTCTAACAATATAACTAAACAAATTAAATATCTAATTTAATAGATGGATAGAATTAATGATTGCTATTATTTTAAATAAAAGGAATAAATTTGTAAATGATATTCATTACAAAATATTATACTAATTCATAAGATAATGATTTTATTCTCATTTTTTATAATAAATTTGTTGTAATCGTTTGTCTTAGAAGGAACAGTAGAGATCCATTTATTTTTTTCAAACCTTCATTTTTAATAATTATATACATTAAATTTGTATCTATTTTATTCTTAAGTAATTCTTATTGATCTATAATTTCCCCTTATTTAAATGGTTAAAGTGCTTTATCATCTTATTCTAACTTTGTAAGCCATTCATTATGATCTACAAGAACTGGCTAAGGTGGTCTCTCTTCATCACTATCATCTGTTATATAATCATCTTTTTCTTTGTCATGCATTAATGAAGCACAATATAATTCAATTTAATCCTCAAATCCAAAATCATAAGCTAATTACATATTTCTCTCTTAATAATAAAATTAATCTAATTTTAATTCATATAGTAAATTTAAATTATTATATCCTGGCTATCTATTACTAATTTCTTGTTTTATTATTGAATTATTTTTAGAAGCTTCAAGATCTAAATCTGATCCTATATTAGATATTGTTCTATAATTTAATAAAAATGAAGTTTCAATTAGATTACAAGTATCCTATGGCAAATAGCATTAAAGAGTTTTATGAGGTAATAATAATTAAACTCCTTCATATTCTGGAGGCTTTTGCATCACAATTTTAATAGTTTCTTCTAATTTCTGATTAGTTGATAAAATATTTTGAATTGGACCCATTTTCCCTTTTACTGCCTTTTCTTCTTCAGCTCCATCTCTAAAAACTACTTATTATAAAAGTGGTGGATGATATACTAATTGAGGGTAATCCCAATTTTTATATTGCATAACTTCTTAATCAGATTAAGGAATTTATTCAATTGGAGCCCAATCATCAAATCCTGTTCTAGGATTAATATCAAATTTAAATGAATAAGTATTTGTTTCTTGGTATTATACAGGAAGTGCAAATTTTCCAATACAATTTTCTTCAAATTCAAAAGTAAAGGCAATCTTATTATATATATTATATAATTACAAAATCTTTTTTGCCAACACCTGCATATTCTGCTTTTTACCAATCTTGATTGACTAATTTTTCAACTTCTGATCTTTTTGTTGCTCCTTTTAGAAATGCTCTAATTTTAGACATTCTATTATCAAATCTGATTCTATATATAACTCTTGTTACTGCATAGATGAATTTTTTTAGTTTCAAAACTAATAGAAAATAAAAGTCTTACTATTTTTTTGATTTTGATAACATCATTTTTTTCAAAATCCCATTGACATTCATATTTTGGTAATATTTAATCAGCAACTGCATTATCAATATTAAGTTAAAGTTGATATCTTGTAATACCACTTTAATATATCTAATTTAACATTTATTAATTAAATTGTTCTCGTTGACTCATGATTTCAGATATAGTTTCTTTTTAAATTGGTGAATCCCCTATACATTATTTGAGTTTATTTTCTTTTTCTTTATCAAGATTTGCTATTTAATTGAAATGATCAAGATATTATTTCTCTTTAACTTATCTACCCTATAAAGATACACCTTATTTGATTTCCAAAACTTCATTTTCAATTATTTATGGTCTAATTCTTTTAGTAGTTGGTTTTATGATTGGATAAAACTATTCCACTTAATCATTTCCTCCAGTAGCCTCATAAATAACTTATGGAGATTATTCAGGTATAGAATATTCATCAATATTTTCTTAAGATGATTATAAATCTTTTGGAATCAATTTTTGATTTTGTTTTGGTTATTGAATAATTGAATGTAGTTTTCTTACTGAAGCAGGTCTTCTAATTCTACTTAGATTTTTATCATTTTATGATCTACCAGTTCCCATTAATTTGATTGGTAAAGGTTCAAAGTCAACAGATCCTACAATCAATTCCACTTCCATATAGACAGTTACATTTATGGAAGGTCTATAAAGAATTTCTATTTCAGTTACTCCTTTATCAGGAATAGTGCCTCTTAAAGGAGTTATTCTAAAATCCATATTGTCTTTGATAATGATGAATTCAAAGTCAAAGTTAAGTGGTACCTTATTTTGTATTGGAAATCTCTATTTTACATGAAAGAAATACTTAAGAAAACTATTCACCTAATTCAAGTGTACCAAAATCTAAATAACGAGGAAATAGATCTCTTAAATAATCTCTGTTGATTGCTGGAAAAGCATGTATTGGAATGACAATTGAATCAAATTAAGTGTTGATTCTCATATTATCCTAGTATTATTTATATTCAAAGGGTTTGAATGAAATATAAATTTCTTCAAACATTCCAGAAGCTATGGCTCCTTTTTTATCATATTTGACATTGAAAAAATTAGTTTTAGGAGGTATAACCAAAATTCTTTATGGTTAAAGATACTTATTAATCACACGAATTTTAAGTAAATTTAATTTACCAACTTCAAAACCTGCAAATCTAACTATTTCAGGTTCAATAATTATTTGTTATTAGATTACTTTATCCATTTCATCTATAATAAATATATATTTGTAATACTTTTTTTATCTAAGTCTTTAGCTTTTAAATGTGGCATTTTAATTGAATTTGGAGCTGATTCTGATGGTTTCAATTTTAACATTATAAATTGATAATTATTATAATGTAAAATCCATATTAGTCATTAGGTTTACCAGAAAATGCTACTTTTAGTTAGATTAAAGAATAGTATAGAGAATTATCAAAAGTGTTTCATCCTGATAAATAAAGTTAAGAGAATTATAATTTAAGTGTGGAAACTTTTGAGAAAATTGATTAAGCATATAAAATAATTGGGAATGAGTTTAATAAACTAGTTTATGATAATTTTGGATTTGCTGGAGTATAATTACTGATAGAAAATAAATAACATTTTGAGTTAATTGAATGGGAATTTCATTAAGGCAAGAATGTTATTGAGAATATAAGAGTTTAATTATTACTCTTAAAGTTAGAAGAAGAAGAATTAAACTCATATTCAACTTTAAAATCATTTTTATGTGAAGCATCATTTTAAAATACATTTATTTGTACCACAAATTAAAATTAAAGATGTGCATTAATATAATAAATCTTACAATTACCTCGTTGGAAATAGTTTGAATTTGCATTGAAATCTGAGATCAATTTACTAAAATATAAAGGTATGGAAGTAGAAGTTAGTAAAAATTATTTAATAACAGCATTAAGTTTGAATTTGCCATTAATAAAAGGTTGTGGTATTGAAATTTAATAATAACTCCCAGATTTTTAAATTGATTAAGTTACTTTAAAAAAAAAAAATGCTTTAGGAGAGATTCACTTTAATTTAATAAATAATGAATAAGGTATTTCACCTTAAATTGTAGCAGCAATAGGTAAAGATTAAACATCAATATAAATCACTTTTGATGCATAAGAAAAATAATTAAATTTTGATAAATAACTTTCAGAGAGATTAACATTTTAAGGTTAAATTAAACATAAAAATTATAATGTTTAATTATCATATTAAGTTGTTAAAGAATAAAATTATGGATCAAGTCTTAGATTATGTTATTTTAAAAATGTTAATAAATCATTATTTTTATTATCAAGTGATTTCAAAGCTTAATATAATCATTTAAGATTTGATTGGCAAAGTACTTTATCAGAAAATAATTAAATGTCAATAATATTTACATTAAGAAAGATTAATTCATCTATAAGATTCCCTTTTGCATTTTAAGTTTAGAGTTTAAAATCATTATTATTTTGGATGATAGGCCCATAAATACTTCCCTTAATTTGGTAGAAAAACTTATTAAATCCTTGGAATGATCTTTAAAATAAAAAAAGATCACTTTATTTATATAAAATTGAAGAGTATTAAAAATTTAATGAAGAAACAAGGAAAAATATTGAATAAGCTGATAATTTTTAAAAGTAATTAAAATTTGAAACTGATTAAAAGTATAAATTATAAATTTAATTATAATAGTGGTCTTATTATTTAATTAGCATATGCTGGTGAATTAGGAGATATAAATTAATTTATATTAAATAAAGTACCAAATAAATTCTTGTCTAATATTAAGGAATAATTATAGGCTGAAATACTAGATAGTGGATTATTTATACCTCCAAATTGTATTGATAAATTAGATGGATTTTTCAAAGTTTCAAGCAAAAAGTAATAATATAACTAATTTATAGAAATTCATCTCATTATTGGGGATATGTTGAATATATTTATAAAGGAAAACATGAATGTAAAAAATGGAATTGGTCAGAACCTTTATCAATAGGAAATGTTTGTAAATAAAATCAGTATTCAATAATTGAAACTATTTTGGGATATATATATAAATGATATAATATCAATGATGTTTACTTTTATCCATCATAGAAGTACGTTTAATCTATGAATACCTTTCTTAAATCTATTAGTCTTTATGAGGATCTAAATCTAGTTGTTTCAGCATTTAATTATTGAAGGACTCTACTGAATCTTCGAAAATCAAGCATTAACAATCTTTTGTTACTAAACATTCAGTGTCTTGAGGAGGTATATAACTATATAATAGAATATATATTTTACGTATATTGAGAATAAACTTTATTATTGATGTCCTTTAATTCTCCCCTAAATAAATATCCACCAAAAATAAAATCACATTTTTAATTTGTTGTAAATTTTCTTAATTTACTTTTTGTTCTAAAGAAATCTAATAATCTCTTTATTTCTAAATGTGCAAGAGGTCCAGCTTAATTTTCAAACATCTTTCTTAAATATTCTAAAAATGAAGTTAATAAATTACCAACAGAATTAATATATATTTTGAATTCAAAATCTGGATTTTTATTCATTAAATCTTTAAGAATTTTAAGATTTAATGAATAAAGTAAAGAATCAGCTGTAGTCTTAGCCGTACTCATGCATGTTCCATCTCCTATAAGATTAGTATATGTAATTAAGGATCCTAAACCCTTTTTTATTGATCCTCCTTGGAATTCATCCACTACATTACCTTTACTCACAATATAGATATTCTAACATGTCATTCCTTATTCATATATTATTTCATCTGGTCCAAATTTCTTTTCATAAGCACTTTTTATTATGTTATCTAAGTCTGTAGAAACAAGACCTGAAAAAATAGGAAATTCCATTGCTAAAACATGGAATGATGGTAAAATCATATCAAATTAATGATTTTCTAGATCAACTAATCTAGTATTGATTTCTTTTTTTAATAATTAGTATTCTTTATCATCTACTAATCCATTCTATTATGTTTCATCAAGATAATGTCTTTAATGTGTTAAAATAGAATGTGATGCTCTTTTAGTTTAAATTGCTCTAACAATCTCTGGAAAAGTATCATTTAATATACTTAAATAACCTTCAGCTTTTTCTATTTCCTTATTTAATTCCTCCATAACAACTCTAACAGCATCTTTACTCATAGGGAAACTTTCAGTTAAATGAAATGCTTCATTTGCACAAGATAAAAATGTTGTAGTCACATCATAAACAAATCCTAAATGTTTAATCATATAATCTCTAGCAAATGGTCCAATAAATGGCATTTCCTTAACTTTAAAGAAAAAGTTCACACTACTAAAATTTAAGAAATTCTTATATAATTAATCCCAAATATTTAAAATTGCTTTTGTATGATCTAAACCTATATCACTTGATTCAACCAATAAACGAACTGTATCTTCTTCACATAATCCATACTCAAATTTATCATAATACAAACCCTTCATAATACGATAGATTCTATATCTAACTTCTCCAAATATTTCTTAATCTGTTAATCCTTCATATAAATTAGATGAATTTGATGAAACTTTATTACTACCTATCATATATTTTATTTCAGTTTCTAATTTCTCTATTTTCTCTATGAATTTAGGTTACCCAATTAATTAATTTACTTTATTCCAATCAGCCATACTATAAAATTAATCTGATTCTAATTCTCTCATTTTATCTTAAGAATTTACTATCAATTCTTCCAAATATTTTTTATACACCTTTTTCTTAACAACAGGATTTTCTATCATCTCTAAATATTGAACCAAAGCCTTGCAAGTAGTACCATTAATTAAATTTGTTATTGCAGCCATCCCTGCTCCATAAAAAACAGATAAATGTCTAAATCTAGCTGGCAATTCTTCATCACATCCAACCATTAAAGACAATGTTAAACCTAAGGCACCTCTCAAACCACCATATACAAGAACTATAAATTCAGACTTTGATATAGGATAACCAAAACACCTTAAAAATGGCCAGAATGTTAATATCATTATAAATCTAGCCAAAATCATAAAAAAGTAAAACACTATCATTCTAATATAATCTGATTTATGAATAAATGTTTCTTCAATTACTTAAGTACCAACAATTATTCCAACTAATAAAAATATTAAAGTATCACAAGAATATTACACAAAACCCCATACAGTATGCACAGAATGTTCTACTGATGATCTTATTCTAGTCTTTCCAAAAGCACTCCAAAATAAACCTAAACCTACAACTGCCAGTAAACCACTAGTTTTAAAAAAACAAAATTCTGCCCAATAAAATGTTAAATATGTGAATACAAATGTTAACCAAGTTACTTCTATATCATCACCTAAAATTCTCTTTGTCCATAAAGCAGCTAATATACCTAAAATCAATCCCAAGGCTGGTCCAACTAATGAATTTCTAACAAAATTGAGAACTACCTAACTTGCAGTCACTGCTTCACCTTTACCGCTTGCTGCTTTTGAAAATTTGTTAAAAAATATAAAAAATACCATTGCTACACCATCATTTAATAAAGCCTCTCTAAATTTATAAAAGTTATAAATACCCCTCTATTAAATGATTGAATGCCAAACTTGCTCCTAATTCCTTAAGTAAAGCAACTACTGCCACAGGATCTGTAGCTGATAATACAGAACCAAGAGTAAATGCTTAATACCATGTCATATCATGATCATCATAACGTAAAACCATTTTAAATACAGCACCTAATAAAATTGCACCCTATTTTTAGATTATCAAATACCCAACCACAACCAGGACCAGCTAATAGTAAAATGTTTACCATCTAATATTTGAAAGTATACCAATCACAATTAAAAGCTGACTCAAATAATAAAACAGGAACAAACACAAACACTATTAAGTGAGGATGCATTTTTGACAAGATACTTGCACTTTCTCCAACATAACCCAAACTCTTTTAAAGTAATCCCAATAAAATTCCTAATGATAAAATCATAGGAGAATATGGGAATCTATATTTTATATTAATTCCATTACTTTGTCTTTTTATTGATTTCTCTCAATATTAACCCTGAAACAATTCCTAAGGTTAAAAAATAAACGATGTTTGCAGATTTCTCCATTTCATGTTCATCTCTCCACAATGAATCTTTTGGGGCTTCTAATTCTTCCTCATGGCCCTCAAATTCATGTTCGTGCTCTGCCATTTGAATAATTAATTTATTGTATATTTTACGGATACTGTAAAAAAATTTAAAATAATACTTATTTCTCATACAACTTTTAACGTAACATGACGTTAGCTCACTATTAAACTAACAATCTTTAAATTCAACAAATTACAAAACATAAACACAAGGATAATCAATTAAAGATCTTAAACATCATAATGTAAATTGCTTAATATTAAAATTTATATTGTTCATATATTTTATCTAAAAAATAAATACTATAATAATTGAGTAAGAACACTAAAAATCTTAGATTTGTAATTTTATATTCAAAGAATAATCTATGATTAATAAATTTCATTATAAGGGTTAAAGGTAACTTAAAATAATTTAATTGAATTCATCATTCTTTAATACAATTTGTAGAGTATAAAAGTATCAAAAAATTTATAAATGATATAATTTTTAAGATTTGAACGTATATAGAGAAATATTAAGAATTTTAAAGTTCTAAATTCAGATATTTTAAATTGCCTATTAATTAATTTTCAATTTATTTTTAACCTTTTAACATTTGATTTGATAGTGAATACAATAAGTCCTCATTACTTTGTAATTATCATTATATTTCCAACCAATAATAAATAAAACTTTTTGGAGTTATTATAAATTAAAAAGAACAACAATGTTAAATAAATTAAGAAAAAAAATCATTCATTATTTAATATTTGAAATAAATCCAAGAATTTTTAATATATCTAAAGAAAAGAAAAATAATTCATTTTTCTAAAGTATAATAAGTCTTTGACTATATAAGTTTGAAAATATTCATGAATAAGATTACAAATTATACCCAAAAAGTAGTATTAGCTTCTATTTATTATATTTTCTTTATGACCTCTTGTTTTTTAAGAATAGGAAAAATAGTTTCAATTTGATTTTATCTTACATTTAAAGTGTTAAAATATTTATTGATGAAAAATATCACCTTATTTTCAAATGAAATACTTAAATTAGATAATATATCATTACTTCCAATATTCCACAATAGTTTTATAAAAACTTACTTATGGGTTGAAATTTCAAACTCATTATTTGCATTTATAAATATTCTCTAAATTTAAGTTATTAATGTCTTTCCTTATTATATCAATTTAGTAATCTCTCCCTTTTACAAAGGTCAAGCTTTGTTATGGTCTTCCTTTTTTATATCATATTAGTATGGGAGGGCTTAATATTAATTACTCAATATTTGTAATAATCCGTTTTGAATGCATAACTATTATATTTATTAAAAAAATGAGAATGCATGCCCTGTTTGTGCTGTTGATGTACGCAGCAGCATTGAATTTCGAGGCATCTTTGATGTCACATACATTAGCAGAAGTAGATGCTTTGGACACTTCACAGTTGAATTGCCAAACTCCTCGATCACACTTCGACGAGTTGGAGTAAACCTTGACTCAATGGTAGAATGTTTTAGAGAATAAGGAACGCATCCCTTCACATATTGAAACATTAACTTAAATGAAACACTTAATTAAACATAAGAAATATTCGTAGTTGGTTGATAAGATCAAAGACTTAGATCTCATATCCCCACCAGTACTTTCTGAATTATAAAACAAATTATAAGGATTGCAATCTCATGGTAACAAGTTTTAATTAATAATAATTAAGATAAACATGAAAGAGAAGAATGTACAGAAACATTAACTAAATTGTGTGCTTATCTTATTAAATAAATGAATAATGTTCACTAATAATGCTAATAATCACCAGTTACAATCATTAAAGTCAAAGGTAAGATAGATGATCTCAAGATCATTCAATCTGGATGTTAATAAGCATGTCAACCTACATGTCCAGATGAACCTGTACCTGAAGTTCCTTCAGAAGTTGCAAGTGAAGAATTTACTGAAGAGCCAGTTGAAGAAGGTGTTCCTCCAACTACTCCAGAAGATGAACCAACCCCAGATGAACCTACTCCAGATGAACCTGCTCCAGAAGACAAGCCAACACCAGATGCACCAGAGGTACCTTAAGAAGAAGAGGGTCCAACTGATGAGCCACCAGTTAATCCAAGTTCTGAAGAATCCCCTGAAGAAACAACAGTCCCAGAAGATGGAACAGAAGAGTGGACTATTCCAGGAGAAGAACCAGAAGAACCAAAATCAGTACCAACTATACCTGATTCACCAGAGGAAGATCAAGAAGAAACACCTCTTCCACCAGTCTCTCCTGATCCTTAAGAATTTCCAGAAGAATATCGTGAAGAATTTATTTTTGAAGAAACACCACTCCCACCTGTCTCTCCTGATCCATTTGTATTCCCAGAAGAAGATGAAGAATAATTCATTTTTGAAGAAACACTTCCACCTGTTTCTCCTGATCCTTTAGTATTCCCAGAAGAAGATGAAGAATAATTCATTTATGAAGAAACACTTCCACCTGTTTCTCCTGATCCATAAGTATTCTCAGAAGAAAATGAAGAAGAATTCATTTTTGAAGAAACTCCACTCCCACCAGTCTCTCCTGATCCTTTAGTATTTCCAGAAGAGCAAGAAGAATAATTTATTTTTGAAGAAACACCTGTTGATGTAGAATCTCCAATAGTTTGCCATTCATCTGAATCTACAGAGAAGATAGAATTAACAGCCACTTAAGTTGAACCTGGATTTACAAGCACACTTACAATAACAAATGAATATGGATTTGGATTATACTTCTAAAAATTATAAAAATA